CGGAAGACATTGGCCGTCAGGCAGTCCTCACTATACTCGAACGCTGGACCGCCTGGGAAGAGCTGCTTGCCCGGCGCGACGGGACCCCATTTCGAAGCGTCGATTTCCTTTGTTGAGGGTTCGACTTTGACCGGCGCGCGGAACCTGCGATCTCCTGTTGGCGGGAGCGCATACGGGATACCCTTGAAGGCTTCGACTGGCCGGGGGAGACTGTCTGACACGACTGTGCCGATGACAGTTCCCTGGGTGAGTTTCACTGAGGGACGGGCATCTTGAATTGTTGAACCCATTGTGAATGACTCTTGAAGTTTTGACTCTGCCCTGACGATGTGTAAAGACAAGCGATTGAGTTGAGTTGAGTTGAAGAGTCTCAAGTCGCAATTCACAACTCAAAACCGGGGTGCATCTCAGGAAGCTCTTATCGATAATCGGCGGTTGCTCGTACCGGCTTGCCGTCGAGTTGCAATTGACTTTGACACGCCTCTTCTCGGACAAGCTCCGGATAGTGAATGGCCTGACTAGTAATACTCCGTAGTTATCGAATGGTGCTTGGCGCCGTGGCGGGAAAGGCTTGATTAGGCGTTAAATGATTGAGGGAACGACTCAAAGAGGCTATTGATACCGGGGCTTTCCCGCGGGGACGAAACGGCCGATCTCGGCGGACGACGTGCTTTCGGGCCCAGATTTGGGCGCCGGACTCCCCCTTTGGGACCTTTCATCTTTCGACAAGTGGAATAGAGTCAATAAATGTCCCCCGTTCCCGGCTTATCAGCCGCCGTCCGACTTGTGCTATCGGACGGGCCCCGACTCATGGGACCCCCCCGGCATGACTTCCCCGCGATAGCCAACTGCCATTGTTTCCTAGTGTGCCCAGCTGGATTCCCAGCCTTGCGGATAACGTCGCCCGTAAAATGTGGTTCCATATGGATCTGGGTTCAGATAAGACGTCCCATTGACGGACTCCTGGGCCTCCGCGTTATCATACCTATCTACCTAGCAGTTTACCCCGGACTGGGTAGCGTGGCGTGGTCAGGGTTGTCGAGATAATGACCAATTGGCAATGAGACATTAAAGGAGTTATCCCTCTCTTCAGAGAGACGGGTACCCCTTGGGAAATAGTAAAGAGGCTTCATCTTTGGATCTTTTCTCTTTCTCAGGATCACCACGCCCACCTGGCCCAAGTCTTTGTTTTCGAAGTTCCCGCATTCATCGACTACAATGGCCGAGAAAGTGTCCAAAGACATCAAGGTCGCCGAGGATGGCCTCGAGCCGACAAAGTCCTTCACGGCGGGCGAGGTCGCGCACCTCGACGAGTCCGAGGCCTTCCTCCAGGAGAACAACATCACAGAAGAGTACCTCGCCGAGCTCGTCAACGACAAGGAGAAGAACCGCCGCCTGGTCCGCAAGATCGACCTCATGATCCTCCCGCTCCTGGCCGGCACCTACGTCTTGCAGTACATTGACAAGCAGGCGCTCTCCTACGCCGCCGTCTTTGATCTCTTCTCGAGCACGAGCGTCACGCAGACCGAGTACTCGTGGTTTGCGAGTATCTTCTACCTGGCCTACCTTGTCGCCGAGTACCCGTGGGTCTACATTGCGCAGAAGACGCGCATGGGCAAGGTCGTGGCGGGATGTGTGCTGTCGTGGGGTTCCGTCTTGATGATTACGGCTGCGTGTTCCAACTTCCCGGGACTTGCTGCGTGCCGTTTTCTGCTTGGAGTCTTTGAGGCACCCATCACGACGTGCTTCATGATGATGGTTTCCATGTGGTAGGTCTCGACGTCTTCGACCCCCCTTATGTTGATATTGTCCTAACGCATGCATCTAGGTACGTGCGATCAGAGCAGCCCATGCGAGCAGGACTCTTCTACTGCTGCAACGGTGTCGGTAGCATGCTCGGCGGCGTTCTCAGCTACGGTATCGGCCAAATCGACTCTTTCCCCGTCTGGAAGGCCGTCTTCCTCATCTGCGGCGGTATTACCGTTGTATGGGGCGGTCTTCTCCTCGTCTTCCTACCAGACAGCATTCTGAGCGCCAAGAGATTCTCCCTCGAGGAGCGAGCCCTTCTGGTAGGCCGCGCCCGTCTCGCAAAGACGGGCGTCCTCAACAAGACCATCAAGTGGTACCAGGTCAAGGAGGCCTGCCTCGACCCCCAGGTCTGGCTGCTGACGCTCTTCGTCCTGCTCAACGAGGTTATCAACGGCGGCGTCGCCAACTTTGGCAAGCTCATCATCAAGGGGCTCGTTTCCGACCCGCTGCTGACCACGGCTCTGGGAATCCCGCAGGGCGCGTTCCAGGTCTTTTGGATTCTCACGGGTGCCTACACCGCGTCGAGGTTCCGCAACCAGCGCACGACCGTCATGGCGGTGTGGCTCATCCCCACCATTATCGGCTGCTGCATGATCTGGAAGCTGGATCGAACGCACTACAAGGTCGGTGTCCTGTTTGGCTACTACATGATTGGATGCTACGTCGCCTCCCTTGTTCTGGCCCTGCAGATGCCGGCGACGAACCTTGGAGGATACACCAAGCGCATCACGGCCTCAGCCATTGTTTTCACGGCGTACTGCGTGGGTAACATTATTGGGCCTCATGCATTTTTGGCCAAGGAGGCGCCGTTGTACGAAACTGGGTGCAAGCTTATCCTCGCGTGCTCGGCTTCGCAGGTGGCCATCGCTGTTGGATTGCGGATGCTGCTCATTCGCCGTAACAAGCAGAGAGATGCTGCTGCTGCGGCGGCTGGTATCTCACCGGATGCTGAGCACGATGATGAGGGAGTCGATTTGACTGACAAGGAGGTGAGTTTTCCGAGCTTCTGTGACCATCAGGAGAGTTTGACAACTAACATGTGGATAGAACCCCAACTTCCGTTATGTATTGTAATATTTCTTGGAGCGGGACATGTTATAGAGATGACTATAGACGTTAGAAGAGCGACCAATTATGAGACCATGTTGATACTGAGAATCGTACTTGAACTGTGAAGCGTAGTAGATTGTAGCCCGGGACTGCCCACAGAAAGCCGGAGATACGGCTGGGCAGCCGGCCGGGTGGCTGTATACTCGGGCTGTGACTGTGGATATCAGCCACGGAAAACCTTCTAGCTAGACTGGAGCAGCTATAGCTTTGCCATCCTTGACAGCTGATTGTGGAACATGGATGATGAGCTTCAAACATGGACATTTTGAATGATGGTCCCTTAGATAGCAACTACTAGATACCACTTGAAGTTAGTGGTTTCCCACAAGATCACAAAACACAGTCGGAGGGATTCGCAGCACGAAGTTTGGGAATGGAATCATTTTCGTATTGACAGTCTGGCAGCTGCGCCTAGACTTGTGAGACCCGTATCTGTACCATGACGAACACCTTAACGGCCACGGCTTTTTCAAGGCCTGCATCAATCTGCGGCACGGAGACTATCAGAGTAGCCCCAGAATCCTCGACCATGGGAGACCATCGAGGGTGGCACGAGAATCCTTCGCTAGCCGGGGGCGTGGGAGAGGAGCAAAAGATGTTGCATCGGGGGCGAAGTGGGGAGGCGAGTGGTCACTGGGGACTTTTTGGTAGTTTGTCTTGATCTCGAACGCGGAAAATCTCATTTTGTTGGGTAGTCGTGAACCGTTCCTATGCCATTTTCCTCTCCGCAGAGAGCCGGACGCCTCGAATTGGCGATATACCATGCAACCAACTCTAGATCCATGATGTCGACCGACCAGACCGAACGACTAGACCCTTTTGACAAGTCAGCCCAACCGTCCGACTGTTGTAAACAGCCCTTTTGCGAGCCGTACAATAAAACTCCCGACGTACCATCCTTCCCCCCCGAGGTCGCATCCTTTCAGCATTTAGCGCTGGCCGGACCAGACAGCCTTGACGAGGCCATCACGCTGGGCCAGACGGTTGAAGGCATCGTCGCTCTCGCCCATCGCGCGAACGAAACCGGAGAGGGCGTAGACGTGGTTCTCGCCGGGGACGGCGCGGCCGTTCTCGTCAACCTTGGCGACGGAGATCTGGACGGAGGCGTGGTCCTTGGCCTTGATGATGCGGTTGGTGGCGCTGCACTTGCGCGGAACGTAGCTATTCGGCGAGAAAAAACACAAGAGGTTAGCATGGACTTTCCATATCGAATTTTTGGTGTAGTCGCGCTTTTCCCGCGAAAGCTTCCTCTTCTCGATTTCGTCTCGCGCGGAAATTTCGTTGGATGGTTCGGTATGGGGAGGGAGATTTCTCACAGATCGACGATCTCGCCCTTGTCGTTCTCCATTGCTGCGGCTTGCGTTCGGGGTTGACTAGAAGCAAGTAGGTGGTGGTTTGCGTGGATGTTGTCGTTCGCGGGGTCGAGATGCGGGAGAGCTGTGGTAGACTGACTGCCTTCTTTTTTCGAAATTTCGTGTGGGCGGGCCGAAGCGGCAGGAAAGGGTTGAGATCACGTGGATCTAGCGACGACTGCTTACCTCATCCTGGAGATAAGATAAGAAGGCTGTCAGCACGAAAATGGAAAGAATGGTCTGTGCTTTGATGACCAGGGTGCTCCTTCTGACCCCTGCTGCAGATACGGTACGTACCCACAAGGCCTGGAACTCAGGCCCCCCCTCTAAGGTACTCCACGCTTGCTGCTGTTGCGCGTTGGCGGTGCTTTGTTGATGTTCAAAGTCGACGGCGTAAATTCCATCCAAACTGCCACCGCCACTCGAATGCGCCCCTCTCTCCGTCCACCGGCCCGTCTGACTTCGCAAGGGAATAACTGATGCCTCTGTCATTTGTTTAATCTAACGGCTACTTTTTCTCGCCGGCACATCCACCAAACGTTCAATCTGCTGCGAGTCGCATCGAAAACATGCGCTTTGCGCATCACGACGGGTTTGCCGAGATTCACGATGGGGTCGCCGTTTCGAAGCACCCGTCATGACGCCTATAAACTCTCCTCTTCGCCGAGCTTGCCATCCCTGGACCAGATCAAGTCTCAATTCCCCAAGCAACCACCCATTCGAAGCCCCATGGCTGCCACTTCCGCTCCGACATATGCGAGCCACCACTTTGCCAAACCCTCCAGCTTCCTTCGCCAGGAACAACCTGCGATTGACCTGACGACACCTTGTAGAGATGAGCCCGCGCCACCTCGACAACAAGAAGAGGAGGAGGAGGTCACAGTGATATCCATTGCGAGCGTACCCAGACCGAAACGCAAGAGAGGCGTCAAAGTCCTTGAGAAAAAGGCATTCCAACCGCCTTCACCCTCCAAACCGATCAAAGATGCGTCTGCCAGTCCGCCGTGGAAGAAGTATGCGAAGCCCAAGAAAACAGCTGCGAAGGCTGAGAAAAAGGCCAAGACTGCAAAGCCCAAAGCAGCAGCAAAGAAGAATGGTGTTCAGAGTCGCCACTTTGCAAAGCCCAAGGTTGAAGGCAAAGAGGACTCCCCTCCATCGCCACAAGAACCAAAGAAGGATACCAATGAGCCATTGGAGCTCGAGGCGGCATTGAGACGTCGTGTGGATTGGACACCGCCGCCAGCCGACAATGACGGGGCTTCAGGATCGAAATCTTCCCAGGCCATCGACCTCCTTTCTTCGACTGTGAAAAGCCCAGGCGGTGCTGCGTCGAAGGAAACATTTGACAATCTTTTCGAAAAGTTTGGCCGGCCGGATGAGGAACTGAAGAGACCTTCGGCTGAGCCGTCTGACGGCGATACACAAGTGTTGAAGAAGAGAAAGTTGATCGAGTCCATGCCAGTCAACGAATCGTCGAAAATGGGACCTCCGAAGAAGGGGCCCTTGAAAGTAAAAGCACCGAGAAAGAAGCCGCGTACAATCACTGAACTGGCTACCGCAGCCTATGTGGTTCCAGATGCTACAGAACAGGAGCAGCCTTCTGCGCCTCCAGTCGAGAGTGTCGAGGACGGAGAAGAGACTGCCAAATCAAAGGGAAAGAAGAGGGCACCGAAGGCAAAGAAGCCCAAGAAGGCTCCCCCACCAGAATCCATTCTGTTGTCACCAACTGCAGCCCTCAGACAAGCTGCGAAGCAAGATTACGTTTTCGGGACTTCGAGCCAGCTGGCACGTGAACACTCGCCTACTTTTCTCAGGGATCTCCAGTCTGCGCTGCAGGCATCAAATTCGAAGAGAGAAGATCATTTCGTGACCCCAATCAATAGCGACGAGGTTGAACCAGAACCCAAGCAAAAGCTTTGGGATGTAGGCGCGAGAGACGAGGATGGCAGGCTGCTGGATTTGGAAGTCATCAATCTTGCCGACACTCCACAGGCAGCACCAGGCGTTGCAGATGGTCTCAACCCTTTTGGTTATGCTGGAATTGATCAAAAAGTAGCGGCTTTGCCAGCTCATATGCCATCAGATGTCTCTTTTCCGGACATCGAGGACCTTCTGGCCAAGGATATGGCAATCGACTTGCCGCCACATCCTGTTATTTCTACACAAGAGAAAGTCGATGCGCCATCACAGGCTCACATGTTTTCGGACATGTCCTTTCCAGATATTGACGATCTTCTGGGAAAAGAGACCGATCAAGATTACAAGCCTCAGACTCAGCAACAAGCATTACCGTCCTCGCCGCCCCCCAGGTCAGCCGAAATCACAGCTCAGTCAGTCGAAGTGCTGTTGGTATCTTCTGGACCTCGACCAAACACCGAGGAAGAAGCTAGCAATCTGCCCCCACTGGACTCACCGCCAGCACAAGCCTCGAAAGCGGCCAAGTCTGTGGCGACGGAGGATACGGCCCCAGAGATTGCGAAACCAGACTTTAGTCTCTACACTGACAACCAACTCGCGCGAGAGATTTCGTCGTACGGGTTCAAGCCAGTCAAGCGAAGGCAAGCCATGCTTGCCCTTCTAGATCAGTGCTGGGTGGGCAAGCAAAGGACCGCCCTTTCATCACTTCCCACGAACCGCCCCATCACGACCACGTCCCAGGCGCAAGCTGTTGCCAAGCCCCAGAAACCAATAGCCAGCGTTTCTCCGAAGCGGCCGCGGGGTCGCCCGCGAAAGACCAGTATAGTTGAAGCTGAAGCTGAAGTTGAAGGTGAAATGCCTTCCAGTGAGCCGCCACCATCCGCCCAGCCGCCACCGCCGTCTCCCAAGCGAGGCCGTGGTCGACCGAGGAAGAATGCCGAGTCGACGACAGTTACTCCCTCGACAGCCAGTAAGAAGGGCAAGTCGAAAGCAACATCTGGCGCATCAAAAGAGCCGAAGGCATCTAGGAAGGCGGCTTCGCCAGTGGCATCACCGCCTCGGAAGAAAACCAAAGTGACAAAGGTCATCGAGATCCCGGATTCGGAATCAGAAGGGGCCCTTTCCTTGTCACCATCGCCATGCTCTTCACCCGAGCCGACTTTTTCCCCAGCTCCCGAGGAAGCTTCAGTATCAATTGGCGATGATACAGAAATGTCACTTGCAGCGTCCCAAAGCCAGCGATCGGAAGTCTTGTTCGCGCGCATCACTGAAGCTGTGACCTCGGCGCCTCCAACGACGGACCCCAAGAACCCGTCCTTCCACGAGATGATGCTGATGTATGATCCGATTGTGCTTGAAGATCTTGCTGGTTGGCTCAATACCGGACAACTATCCCGGGTTGGGTATGATGGTGAGGTCTCGCCGACGGAAGTGAAGCAGTGGTGCGAGTCAAAGAGCGTTTGTTGTCTGTGGCGCGAGAGCTTGAGAGGAAAGGAGAGGAAGCGGTACTAATTCGGAGCCTACGTTATGCATTTACGATACCCATTGAATAGTCTTGCTTTGGTTGGACACGGCCGTCACAATAAGATTCCTGGTATTGATTGAGATGACGCTATGGCGCCGTCTCGATAACACCTTATATAAACAACATTATTCTTCACCTGAGATAAGTCCAATTGAGAAACTGTGACATATGAATCGATTTTCCTTGATTGAGATGAAATGGGCGATTATGTCGCATTATTTGGTGTTGCAAGTGTTATGAGAGTTAGCAGCAGGGCGCGGTCACAGGGCGCACACCGAACCTCGGCAAAAACGTCAACCCCCGCCGGGTCGGTGATCTTTGTCCCAGACACCTCATGACTTTTGACTAGAGCTGATCGGCTGTCACCTTCAGGTTCTCAATGCCTTCGTTATCCCCATTATCCCGTACAGGTAGATCATTCTGTTCAAGAAGCTGTTTGATTCAATCAATTCGATACCCAAACTTCTCGTTGCACTCATTTTCACGTTCAATTGCGACGCGCATTTCGAGCAGGGATCTCAGGCCAAACACGTCACTCATAGCAACGCCTGTTCCACGCACCGTCCGACAACAAGCGGGCGCATCAAATATCATCATCATGTCACAGCAGCGTTCATCTTCTTCATCGCCGCCGAAGCGTGAAAGAGAGGTTATGGAGCCTCGACCGAGTGCGAGGTGAGTTCCGTTCATAATTAGACATGCAGGCCCGGTGTCAGCTCACACAACCCGGCCCATAGCATCTTACTTCTCTCACCGACAAACCAGGTCCTCCTGCTGCACCGTGTGAAGACATCAACATCTTTCGCATCGGCGCATGTATTCCCCGGCGGGAATCTAGATCAGTTTCACGATGGAGAGATTCCGCCAAGTGATGCCCGTGAACGGCACGAGGACGGCCACGCGTATCGGCTAGGTGCCATCCGTGAGTGCTTTGAGGAGACGGGCATCCTCCTCGCCACTCGCAAGGGCTCCGATGACAAGTCTACGCTCGTCAACGTTCCCATCGCAGAGAGAGAGAAGGCTCGCAAGCAAATCCACAGCGGCAAGTTGCGCTTCAGCGAATGGGTCGACAGCGTGGGCGGCGTCCCCGACATTGGTAAGTAATAAACCCTTACATCAAGCACTTTCATCGCAGGAGGACTACGCAGAAGATTCAATATCACTCACGCTTCCAAACAGGACGCCTCATCCCCTTCACTAGATGGGTGACACCCACAAACGTGCCCAAACGTTTCACAACGCAAATGTACATTTACATGCTCCCGCACTCTGCCTCCACCGGCGCCGACGCCGCAGAGAACGAAATCATCGTGCCGACTCCGGATGGCGGCGTAGAGCACACGGCCGCCAAGTTCGACGACGCGTGGACCTGGCTCTACCGCGCCGACAAGGGCGAGATCATCCTCTTCCCGCCGCAGTATTACCTCCTGTACCTGGTCTCGCAGTTCTGCAAGGCCGCCGCCCCATCCCCGGCGCCCGGCAAGGGCCACGGGGACGCGTACTTTGCGTCGCAGAGGCGGGGCCTGACGGACTTCCTTCACAGAGCGCCTACCGCTGTGACCGAGGCGGGTCGGAAGCAGCCTTCGTCGGAGATTCCGTGGGCGCACAAGGTGATGAGCCCGCATAACTTGTTCATTCGCGAGGGGGATAATCGTATCGTGCTCGGGCTTGACAAGCCTGGTCCCGAGCTCAAGGGGACGGGCCGCGGAGGCGATTGGGAGAGGGTTGTGTTGGTCAAGTTTACGAGGGACGGGCCGCGCAAGGTCGAGGTGAGGGGTCGCGAAGAAGTGTTGAGGGAGGAGAAGGAGGCGAAGAGGGCCAGGGAGGCCGAGGAGGAGGGCGAGGGGAGACATAAGCTTTGAAGCTGTGGTGGTCGTCGACGGTCGATGATCGTAGAGCCTGTAGATAGTTGTTAGTTGATGAATGAGAGGATATTCCATTACCTCGCTGTAGGGTCGGGTGATGATGGTCTGACGCTGGACATGTCAGAAGAGAGACAACAACTCGTGGTGTAGCACCCGCATAGTCATCTCACTTCACCCAGTACTCTGGTCAGCGGTTTTTTTTTTGGCATTCTACCACCACACACCACGGTTAAAAACCTTAAAAAAAAATGCTTTAAACGATGAGAAGAATGAGATCTGATGGATCTCAAATGGTCGACGGACAAAAGAGCATTGGTTATTGTGCAGAAAATAAGGCATCCAGGGGCACCCGTTGCAGGAGTTCTCGAGTCAGGGCAGCGGCCACACCCTCACCCCCTCCTCTGCCCTGCCAGGCGAACCACCTCTGCACAGCAAACCTAGGCTGGGAGAGAGAGTCGAAGGCGTCTGGAGCCGGGGGATGCGAATCTCCCTGAGAACTCCTCGGGGCAAAGGGTGAGGCTCTGCTAAGAGGCTCACCCTCGCTCACCCTCAAAGAGGTGGTTTGCTCCGAACTCAAGGACACGCAACCCCACATCCAGCAATGCACGCATCCTGGGACAGTTGGAACCAAGGTGAATGCAGAATAATCCTTGTTGTCCTAGTCTCTGGTGCCGCATTCAGAGAGGCCGCATCACTGCGGCCTCCATCCTGGCCAGCCCTCCTTCTTCTTTCCCCCTCATACCTATACAAGAAGGCAGTGGTATTACACCACCCTCCCCGACCTAGCCTGACCATCCATCATTGGCTCAAGATACTATGATCTGATAGCATAACTCCGCTTAAGCCGTGCTTGCGAGCAAGCTCGAGGTAAGCTCAAACCTTAGTTTACTGGTGTCTCGCACAAAGATCTGCCAGTCGTGGGGAAGGTAGGACGTGTGTTTCCCTGATGCTCATTCTTGGTTCATGTTCCCTCACCCATCGAACCAATTTCAAGCCCGTCAGCAATACTCCCCCACGCGATATACGCATTGGTTATGCGTAAACATCCTTCAGCTTCGACGACTGGTCTCGTACCCGAACATGAGGCTCTGTCCTCGGCGATCGCGAGAGTCTGTCACCGCTTAAACTTGCATGGCGTACGCGCTCGTGTTGGCGCCGTCTCCTCCATCCTTGATCCTCGTCCGTCTATCGTCACTTTGTGGTCGCCAGAGAGACGCCATACGGCCATTATCTTGTGGCTTTCTTCCCCTCCTCTTCATACGTGGCATCAGAAACGACTATCTCCCCGGATGGCTTCGGTCTCGTGGACGCAGATCGTACCATCATGACGTTGAGTCTTGCCGTTTGCTTGAATCATTTGATCAAACTTCCGTCCAGCTGTTAACTCGAGACGGCAAGCCAAGCAGACTTTCTCCTTAGGAAGTAGTGCCGACCCTAGTTTGCGCCCAATTGTATATCTTGGATCGTAGGTTGGATCTTTGGCCAACCGTTCATCCCGCATTGTCACACCGGTTCTTGCAATCGCATCTAGGCCTTTGGAATCAAGCGTCCAAAACTAGTCGTTCAGCCGGAGTCGTTGGTATTTTCGTGTCTTCTGCTGTCTTTGGCATCTGAAGTAACCGTATCCCTGCATAAAGTAGGCGAGGTAACTGTCACTCTTCATCGCAGATCATCGGCTCCCCGATGTCAAGTTTGCACTTGCCGAGTCAACACTAAACTCACTTACTTTACTTACCTCACCCACCTCCGCAAACTGCACTGCATGGTACCACGCTCCTTTCAACAAACCAGTCTGAGGGAAATTCGTGTCGTACAGACTCGACCCTATAGGGATAATACTCAGCAACGGGTAGTGGCCCGCAGGCTGGTAACACATCGTACCAGAAGCCATGTAGGTGCCCTCAGCGATTTCATGGGAAAAAATTCATGGCAGGAAGCAATGAAGCACACAATTACCCTAGAGAACCCCTCTTTCTTGCATGGATGAGACTTCTTGATTGGAAGGTTCGGTGTCGCTGTTGGTGGCATGCAGGAAACCTGCATGCAAACCATAGAGCAACAACGGATCTATGCTGGATTAGTATATCCCGCCGGGGCATGGCATTTGCTCGAGATGAGAAAGAGAGTGCAGATGGAGGGGACCAGGGATTTTGGCGCTAAACTGCTGTGCAAGGAAGGCCGAAAGGCTCAATGATAATGAAGAATCGTTGCAAGGATGGCCGGTCATCTTTACCGTCTTCCCTTACCCGAGTTCCGTCGTTCTGATGTTCCCATGATCCGATCGATTATCCGTAATGTCTACGCCTATCGCAGCTTCATCCGAAGGGTGGGAGAGGGCTGGTAAGATGTATCGATGAGCCAATGAGGACTGCGGCGCCAAGAGAAGGATTCGAGGTATGAAAACAGTCTTCAAGCTACGACAGATGCGCAGAGCCGCAAAGCTCACGGGATCTCGAGCGGTGTGGTTGGACAATCTTATGGATCCATTACTCTCCCGTACGGACCGTCTGGCGGATTGCGGCGGGTGGAACGGCATGTGGAGGAGGTCGCTTGCGGGCTTGAGGGTCTCAGGTGCGGCCGCGGGAGGGGGTGAACTAGCATCTATACCCTCCGGGAGTGGAACGTAATGCGTGCTTTGTGGAGGGAGCAGATGACCGGGCCCATAGATTAGGAATTGGCTCGTAAGCTATGCTATGCTATGCTGCCCGATGAACTGCATGTAGATGAATATCAAATCAGATCCAAAAGAGACAAGAGTGACCCATACGTCTAAGAGATGCTGCTCGGAAAGTGAAGTTATAAATACCGGAGATGTCTCCCATCTCGACAAGAATCGTTTCACTGCAAACCAGACCAAACTTCCAGAAGCTGGGCTTCCCGAAACACCCCCAAAGTTTAACATACAATCTTCTTCAAGATATTTATCTACAAGTCTAGTGGCCCAGCCGCCGTGCCCCTACTCAAGTCTCAATCCAAATCTTGACTCATTTTGCTTCATCATGCCTGAGTATGTCCCTGCATATGTTGAGAGAACTCGTCTCAACTTGAGAGAATGCCAACTAAAGTCCTGATAGGGGATCTGAACAAACCACGCTTGGTGACTACATCAACACCACAAGCGTGAGTGAGTACATTGCCATGGGAGGTGCGAAGAAGTAAGCACGACAGGTCGGAGCTTCCGTGGCGGGCTCCCAGCATGAATTTCTCTGAGACCAGGAACTGGGGAAACAATGTGGAATTTTCTGATACCCTCTTGTTTTGGAGTTGGAACATGTCACCCTATTGTGTCTGCCCTTGAGATTGAGATCTGCTGGTCATGGGCAAGGGATTATGAGATGTTGAAGGGACGACCGCAGCGCGGATGATATCGCTCAGTAATCCAGCCATAGTAATTGCTGTTTTACACCGAAATCATGAGTCAAGGCCTAAGCACACATGCTCACTGATGCCAGCTAGGAGTGTGATGAATTATCATTAGATTCTCATCCTTCGTCACCGCATGCAGGGCTTTCATTGCACCATCCCGTGCAGTTTTTAGGTGTCCAAGGAGGTAGCATAAGTGTCTCTGAGAGCAGGCTCCCTGAAATGCGTTAGACTCGAAGTAACGAGAGAGGGAGCAAGTGGATAAGACTCGAACGAGGAAGCTAACAAGGTGATCGGAGAAGCAGAGAGTGGCGGATGATACCCTAGAACGCAGTGAAAAGAGGCGAGAGCCTGATAATACTGTGTAGTCGCGAAAGACATTAGCCGAAGAACATCTGCACCCGAGCCGTCAACCGCCCGTCCTCGTGCCGGCCCATAGCGCCTATCATGTACTAGGCGGGACGAAGGGGGGTGGGGGAAGCTGCAGAATAGCCAACCGCCGGAGGGATGATGGTAGAGTGATGGGAACATGGAGCAGCGCGCCAACTCATGGAGACAGTAGCAGAGCCTCAAGGACCGGGGTCTGGGGTGTCGTGGTTGGCTACGTACCCCCGTGTAGCTGGCGGTTGGAGGCGGCAGAACGGGCCCGGTCGTGCTCGGCGGTTTGGGCCTATTCCGGCCGCAGATAAGTGGAGTTGAGCGACGGTGGGAGGTTGTGTTGCCGTGGGGTGTATCACACACGAAGCATGAGGATGACCAGCTGATCAGTGATTAGGAATTAGCTCGTAAGCCGTCTTGTAGATCAAATGAGAGATCGGAAGCTATAGAGAGAACTTGAGAGATCTTGGTCTTTTGGCTCAGAAGACACAAATTCTGGCAACTATAAATATTCGCCAAAGCCCCACGAGGGATCGGATAGTACAAGAGGGGAGAGCAAAGCCAAAGCCGATTCGAGACCAATACCCTAGCCATCATCTACTACTTGAACATACTCTTGAACAAAGGTCAAGCTGCTGGCTAACCCTCATCAAGATCTGAACCTCACCCTTCACACTACACCGAAGTCTGTTAGAGACTCGAGAGTCAAAATGCCCAACTCGCAAGTTCATCTTCAAGACATAGACCTACTGCTAAGTGGCTTACATGAAACAAAGCACCCCGGCACCCCCCCAGCCTTCACCAGCCCCTCAGTTGGATACCTTCATTAAGAACATTGATTCAGTCCAAGACCGACTATATGCGGGTTCAGCGGCGGCAGCAAAGGCGAAGGGAAGCAAGAAAACCTAGCTGTTGCAAGTGCTGAATGCAACGAGCCTTGAGGCAAGGAAATTCATTCCGGGCGAAATGTATGATAAGGGAGAAGATGCATTGGCACTTGCTTTATTGTAGTGTTACTTGGTGAAATTCAATGGCAGTATTTTGAACTTTTGAACCAGAATCATTCTCGGCAGACATGATCACTGCGCCGTTCTGGTAGGCAACTGCCATCCTGAAAAATATTTAGCAATTTGGAAAGACGTGCTTGCTGTCAGCATATGTGGTCTGGCATCGTCTACCTCACCTCTGCCGGTGTGCCTTTTCTTATGCCTTTGGCTTATTCTCGACGCGATCAAGTTTATAGGCATGGGAAATGACGAGGAAACCTGGGACTTGCTTGTTGATCTCAATGGTTTCTATACGATTGAAAGGGGCCATCACCCGTTATCTAAGACATGAAGCCAGCGTTGCCCGCGATCCCGAGCTCCTTCATCTTCTGCTCGAGGCCCTCCTGAAGCTCCGCCTTGGCCGCCTTCTGCGCCTCGGCAAACCCCATGGCGTCGTCCACACTCATCTCGGTATCACTGTCCTCGTCCACGTGCTCTCCATCCCAGTCGGCCTTCTCACGTCGGATGATTTTGCCCATCATCTTCTTGCGCTGCTCATCCGTGAAGTCGGCAAAGATCTCCTCGGGCTCATCTAAGGGCTTCTCGTTGCGGAACTTTTCGATAGCGAGGGCGGTGGCCGTATCTTTTGCGCAATCCTCGATAGGGTGCTGTCGGTAGCGGGAGAACTTGACGGCAATTCTTCGACCTTCGTAGAGGCACATCATGACCTTGGCCGCGACGGTGGGCTTCATCTCTTTCTTGGCGGCAATGATCCAATCAGCTTCCTTGGCGGCAAGGAGACGGTGACCCGGGATGCTCTTGGTAATGTGGGCTTCGTGACAGGAAAGTCTGTCGGCGTTCATGAAGACCTGGGCGATGACTTTGTCGATGGCCTCCTTCTCCAGTTTGGAAGAAACGGCGCGAAGAGCATTCTTGAAGGCCATGCCTTCGTTCGCATCCTCGAAGATCTTGAGCTCCTCACCGGTAGCGTTCTGGTACATTTGGAAGCCTGGGCCGGAAGGTAACACCTTCTTCAAGGTTTTGGGCTTGGGCTTGCTTTTGCCCTTCTCTCTCTTCTCCGCCTGTTTGATCTCTTGGTCGACCATAGGAAGCTGTGACTGAGGCATTGTGAGGCTTTGGGTGAAATTAGAGATCCGAAGATTAGAAGAGATGGAATCGTTCAACTTACGCTGTCAGGAGATGAGAGCGCGTGATTGGGTAAGAAGAGAATTTGGACGAGATCCAGAGACGGGATAGAATGCAGAAGGGAATGGTGAGTCGAGATGATGAGTGTGAATGAAAGAGAGCCTCGAAGGAAGGTCTGATGTGGTTGTGGTGGTGAAATTGTGAGATGGTAAGAGTGAGTAGGTTGAGAAGCGTGAAAGACAGCTGCTCTCGGTGAAGGCCGGTGAGAATAAATTATCACCATAAAGGGTAGGTACGCGTCAACGAATCGCCTCATGTTTGACCGCCCACCACTCGACATCAGTGAGAAAATGAAGTGATTCACTTCACCTTTGACTCACCCTCGCTCCTTCCCTTCACCTCCTGACGCCCGCGTAACCTACTTCATTACGAAAAGGTCCTCAATCTTCCATCAGGACGGCCGGGTGGCTGAGAGGTGACTCTCTTGGCTATCTGTCTAACAGAAATCGATAAACCCCCAGTTCGATTCTCGGTCGTCACGCAAAAACTACCGAAACCACTGGACGTATTTAAGACAGAGTAACATTTGACCAAAGTGCGACCTTTGGCAGTGGTTTCTTGTGCCTAAAGCCTCAGATGCTGCGGGCGTTTGAGATCCGGTTTCGGTACTAAGTGCCTGATGAATATTTGGAAACACCCTCTGGTCAATTGACCAATAATCTTTTTTTGCATTTTCCCTGGAAAGTTATGTTGTGATACATGTTCTGCACGTTACCCTTGTTGCGGTCGAACGTCGGCCATGCTACAAATGACACTGCATAGAGAAGAACACTTGGTGAGGAATGGTCAATTAGATTGATACCAAAACGACTCAAGCTATGGGGAGTAATAAGATAATGTAGATCAAGATAACGAAGCTTGACTTTGCGTGAGTCCCAACTTAACCGCCGCAACCACCACAACCACCACCGCCGCCGCATCCTCCACTCGAACCCATGCCCACTATTCCCGCTCCATGAGCGCAGCCTGTCGATCGAGAGATGTCAGAGCTTGTAAACAAGAAGGCAGACGAAAGTGAAGAAATACTCACCGCCGAGTTGACGACTTGCTCCAGACCAATACCCCTAATATCAGACCGTATTAGACACTCAATTCAAGAGGCGCATGAAGGTCAACAACTTACAGCCATATTGGTACAACCGCCAGGGCCGCCACATCCCCCAGCAGCGATATCATTCGAGCCGCAAAGCCCCTGAGCGCAGTCGGCCCAGGACCCATGAATGACACCGGGGTTTCCAGCAGGATAGACCCCTCCAATGAGGTACGCGGGATAGTTGTAGGGACTATCTCTATGGTGCGTCTTGCCCCAATTGTTATAGAACTCCTCCTTTGGCGGCAGTGTCCTACCTCGCTTAGCTGCACGCTTCTTTGCTCGCTCGTAGGCGTCATCCAGGCGCATTCTCCAGGCTGCACGGAGCTGGCGATGCGCTATATTGTGGGTAGCAGACCCGTCTGTGCGAACGGAATTGTGGGCGGAGATGTGGACAGAGTTAGATGGAGTGCAGACCTGCGAGGCTGTCGCTTTTTCGAAGCTGTCGATGGCTGGAGGTAGGGGTGTCAGTATCTTGGACTATGCGCACGAGGGGCTCGTCATTGAACATGCCTTTTTGTGGCTTGCTTTTGCCAAAGACGGAGGAGCTGTCGATGGTGATCTTTGCTCGTACAGCTGTTGAACATCGTTAGCGAGTGCTCCTGATTATGAAACGAAATAGCTTGGGTAGCTCCGAGGAACATTGAACAGACCTTCGCAGTACCAGCATGTGCATTCCGAGTAGACCTCGTTGAACTTCTCCAAGTAAGTCTTGCTGGTCAACTCGAATGAGTTGGACAGCTGGTCTTCGTCAATTTTGTCGTTGTGGTCAATGAACTTGGCCTCCTTGCTGGTACTCATGGCGGTGTTGTATGTTGAAAATTTGTAGTAAGCTCTCGGGGCTAGCTGGTGAGTATGCCAGGCAAGGTCCACATCCAGCGTAGGTACTGTCAAAGACATGGGGTACTCGGTCATGATGAGCATGAAGCGTTGGTACTTTTGAAGAAGTCGATCCATGGTTCCCCTAGCACTGGGACTGTGCAGCCAGTCAATCTGCAAATGATTCTTGTTAGCACTCTCAGGGGCTAGGAGTATCAGTCAGGATACTGACGTTAAACATCTTGCCGATGAACACGCCCTGGCGCATCGTCGCTCCAACAAGGTCGAGCGCGAATATGGACGCATTTTCCCAGTACCTCGACATCATCTTGCTGCTCTGAAAGCGTTCCGTTCGTGTGATCACTCTTCCGCCTGACCCGTCCTTCTTGTCATACGGGGTTGGTCTCGCCCCCTGTATTCTCGCAAAGGCGTCATAATCGGTCAGCGCAGCCGAGATAAGATCTCGTACATCCTTCATCGTCGGCGTTTTTGCTTGCCCGGGACTGATGAGTCGTAGCAGCTGCTCGGAAATCCCCTGCCCAACCAGTCTGTTGGGAAACGTGACATCCTTGAGCTTTGCCTCAGTGGCCACTGGCATGCCGGCCTTTGGGTCTAGGATAGTGCTCGGGAGAGTGACGCCTTCGTTGAGATAGAGCTCCGCGTCAGTGATCATCTTGGCAACGCAAAGTAGGCGATGCGTGATGACGGTGTTGCAGCCTGCTGTGCATAGTTGAGAGAAATCTCCATCACCATATCCCTTTCCAACCAAACCTGGCCGCCTTTAACATCAAAGTCAGCAAATTCCATGTTTGAAAATGCAGTCTCGGTCATGATTGAACGTACTCTTGACCCTTGTACAGCTCTGGTAAGCCGCAAGTGCTCCAAGGCACAAGAGTAGTCTGCTTGCATGCAGGACATTCAATTTCCTTCTCCAGTGGTTCGTCGAGGTTGTTCCACGCCCGCCCTGTTGCCTTTTCCCAGTTCGACTTGGCCACATCGGAAACCTCGTAGTTGAACTTGGAGTCGATGACTTGGTTGACCTGGGCCCACGGCATTCCCGTCGTCCAGAAATCGCGGAGATTCCAGCGCATAGTGTCTTCCAGAAACGCTCTAGGATTCAACATGTGCGCATGGAACATCATCAGAACATCTAGTCACGGTTAGATGTTTCCATGCCTCAGCAAAGTCGAATGTAGCGCTTACCTAGTGGTGGTAGATTGTCCACTGTCCAGGGAAAGTCTTCAGCCCCGTCAGGAAACTTCAAGTACTTTTCGGAACACATCTCGAAATCCTTCATCTCTGCTTCGCGCAAGCGACCTCCCGAGAGCGTCTTCCACCAAGTTTGATACCGATCCGCCGCTCGCGCGAGATAGACCGCCCACCTCTTCTCGCGCAACGCCGACAGCACTTCCTTCACGCGATCCTCACCTCCCTTGCTGGAGCCTTCGTCACCATCCCTAGGGCCGGCTCGCGAATCCCACAAGTCCCATAGACCGTCGCTGTACCCGACATCCTCCTTCAGCGTCTCAATGGCATAGAGAAGCTTCAAGTGTGCGAGGCAGGAGTCCACGTCGGGATCTCTCTGGGTGCCTAGCCGGAGCGAGCTGAAGGCGCTGGTAAGATTGGCGACATCCTGCTCGGTGTAGGGCCTCTTTCCGTTGGACCCGCCGTTTGCTTCAAATGGTGGTGGCTGATCATCGAACGGCGGAGGTTCGTCCGGTGCGGCGCCGTAGGCGGGGGGAGGTGTTGCTGGGCGATCTGCCTTGGTCTTTTCTTCCTCCGCCTCCTTCTCCTTGGCCTTGGAGGACCTCTTGAAGAAAGAGGGCATCGCGAGGTTGTGGTCTCTCTCTGGCTGGGAAGTGGTGGACTGATGATCGGACTAGGGGTGAGTGTGGGGGAATGCGGGGTAGAACCTCGTCGACTTTCTTGCTAGGCTAGATGCTTGATCTTACGTCTGCGATCTGGAGGAATATGCCATTCTATAGTTGATCTCCTATTGTGAAATTGTGAGATGAAGGCTATAGATTCGAACTTGGCAGAGCCTTATCTCATTGGGCTTTTGCGATATTCTAGGCCACGTCATGCGAGGTTCCCGTCCTCTTGGCCTTATGATCAACCGTCGATTCAGCCCTGGAACCGCTTCATTCCAGGGCGGCTAGGCAGACTGGCTAAAACAGACACCAACTGCTGTGCATCGATACAGGCGCATTCTTACAACAGCAGCTAGCGCCGGGCGGCTGAGACGCCCCCAAAGCTTCGAACGGCACGTGGGCGGTTGCACAACGATCTAGTCGGGCGAAGGCGTCCCTCCACAATTGCCTCCGATAACCCAATGAGGGCAAGGATTTACGCCATGTTGGAAAGCTTGAATTGAACAAGCGAGAACCGGCTGGATGAGATTGGTTGACAATGATCAAGGCCGCCCAGTAAAGACGCAACCCAGAGTGGCGGGAAAGGTTTATCTGTCAAGTCTTACCCGTCCGTGTTGGCAACGCTTAAGATTACGGCAACTGCAACGCTTGCCCTAACTGTCCAGGCTTTCTGACCACACATTCTGTCCTTGGCAAACAATTGCTAAGGCTTGGCCTTGTCAGACAAGAGACAAAAGCAGCTGAATGTGTCAGACCGATGTTCTGGAAGCGAGCCTCTGCGACTTGGCGTTGGTATTGTATCCGTGCTTACATTGACAAGGGTTATAGGGAAACAGATAACAGGGAATGTTCCAACGGGTCAAGTATCGGAGCGAATTGGAGGGCAGCTTTTGAACATATGATTGAACATCTGAAGTACTGAATTGTGTTTCATTGAGTGATGGAATTTTGTTCGAGATAGTTTTCATCTAATTACATCAGCCTCAGTTATGAGAATCTCTCCAGGCGCAATATCATCATTTGTGTCCGGCCCAGAACCTCAAGAACGCCTCCTTCTTGGTCTTTGGTGGCGGTAAAGCACCAGGGTTGCGGTCTTCCTCTTTCAAAACTTGGCCATCGTTTCCGACGTTGGTGACAGCATTCTGCTGCTTGCCTAGATAGAAGTTGGTCTGGAAGAGCGCAGCAATAAGAGGAACGAATGCGAGGGCTAAAGCTGGCACCAGGCAGTAATACAAGGTGCGACGGTACGCCTCGATGGCCCCCTGTCTCATGGGATCATCGAATGCGTACTTGGTACGAATGGTGCGGACACTGCCGAACAGAGTCTTGACGTCCTTGTCAGTCGCGGTCGCGGGTAGGTACTCGCGCAAGAGCTTGGGCATCTTGTCAGCCCAGATGACAGCGACGATGGCACTGCCGATGGAGCTGCCAATCTTGGACCACAGGGAAAGCAGGGCGATGGCCAGAGCGACATCCTGGTGCGGCACGGAAGCTTGAGATGCCACGCGAGAGCCGACGACCGAAAAAGCACCACCGGCACCGACCATGATCAGTGAGATGACCATTGGGGCGGTGGAGTTGGTGGCCCGGGGACCATCGATCATGATGCCTATGCCGATGGTCTTGATGCAAAGGCCGAAAATTTGCAGCATCTTGTAACGGTGAGTCCATCGCTGGAGGAGACCTGCGACCATGCCAAAGACGCAGAGCGCAAGTGTCAGCGTGTTGTTGTAGTACACCCAGTCTTGCGAGGACCAAGGTTTCGCAATGTAGACGTATGATGACCAGTATAATCCGCGCATATTGCCGGCCACTTAAAGATGTTAGTGAAGCTGTATTTGAACCAAGTCTAACAAAGGACTTGGACAAGTACTTACACATGTAGAAAGAGTCGATAACAATGGCCATCAAGAATGTCTTGTTCATGACTAATCTACGAGGTGCGCTTGGGACCTTGGCCCATTTGATCTCGTAAACCACATATGCGATGAGCAAAATACCTCCCACTACCATCATGGCAATGAGCGATTGATTTCTCCAACCATGTTCGGCATAGGTCTTGAGACTGAATGGTAAAAGTAGCAAACTCCAGCCGAAGCCCAAGAGTATCAGACCAAGCGCATCGATCTCGACCAAGTTGCGCTTGAGACCTTCCATCCAAGTGCCCGCCGGCTCAGCAGCTGGAGCCACAATAGCACCACGCGGTCCATCGTATCCCTTCTCATCAGCCATATCTCTCGCAGCGCGGCGCGCCGCGTTCGAAGAGGCGAGGTTGACAATACCGTCCTTTTTCGCCTTCCTGTCGAGGTGCAAGAGCGTCGCGATCGCGGGACCGAGAGCAGCGGGCATTATGATGGCAAACATGCCGTAGCCCCATCTCCATTGATTCCGAGCTTGCATCGCGTCAACGATCTTGCCGGCGAACCAGGTGTTGATGATAAAAGGAGCTGATAGCAGCGAGCTGACAAAGCCACGCCATTCCAAGGGGGTCAGGTCAGCAACGATGATATCGTTGGTGAGATCCAGGCCGGAAGAACCGATGGAGACGAAGACTTCGCCAACGATGTAGGCCGAGATTGAAGTGCTTGAAGCGGCGATAACGTATCCGATGACGTAGAAAAGCAGAGTGACAATGTAGGTGTACGGGCGAGACGTGATGTCGGAAATCTTGGCGATGAAGGGCTTCGAGACAGCCGAGATGATGCTTGTGGCGATCGAGAGGGTCGATAGCACGGACGAGTGTTGTTTGTAGTAGGACGAGGCGTCGATGCTGTAGTAGGATGTTGTCGAGCTGTCAAGGGAGTAGGCCCAGGCGCAGACGAGGACGGAAAGTCCGACGAGGTAGAGGGAGATTCGATTCTGCTTAGCTTCGCGGTAGACTGCCTCCATGCGAGTGACACCTTGTGATTGTAGGACATCCCCAACAGAAGAAATTTGAGGCTCTTCACGATCCGTTGAGGGGGAGATTGTGCCATCTTTGGGGATGTGGACGTCGTCTGACAAGATGCCCGACTCCTTATTGTTCCTCATAGTGAGGATCCGCGAACCGCAGTACGCGATCTTGACTGGACGAACGAAAAGTAAAAGTCTGCTGGGATTAGAGTTTAGGCAACATTGGACACTGTCAAGAATCGTGAGGGACATATGTATACTTATGTAGTCTCACTTGAGCAAGCAACCGTCCTCAGATGTACTTCACTGCAGTATTACTTAGCGTGCTGGTCCGGCTAGCTGTATGACTTGGTACCTAAGGCAAAATAACAATCTGATTCAAAACTAGAAAATTCACAGCCGCCGTTGAACAAGGGAGGCAGGGATCATCGGGACCCACGATGCTGGTGGTGTGTCTAACTCGAGATTATTCGGAACTATGTACTTACGGATCTGGTTACAAATGCACAAAAGTTCATGGTAGTGAGCCTTGAAGGAGCAGCGCTAACTGGGCTTTCTCTTTTGCCAAATCTAATCAGATGGACCCATCATCTTATCTTTTCCCATCGTGGGTAAGTGAACTCGGCCGGCGGAGAGGGGCCTGGTGCGGAATTCCGGGACTAACATCGAGCTAGCCCAGCGAAGGAACGAATCGCACAGGATTATGGAAAAACCTGACAAAGTGAATTTACCTCCGGCGGCATGATGCAGAACAGTTCCACTTGGTGGCCTGCGATCTTGGGAAGGAAACAATCCAGCACCATGGGCTCGGTCACCTTCCAGAGGCTGATTTGTGTAGCTTCAAGTGGTCAGTCGTCCACGCCATCATCCATGCCCTGGCTTGAGCAAATGGCAACCAGGCACGCCAGGGAAATCGAGTCTTTCATGTGGCAAAGCGTGGCGAGCCAAGACCATATTCCCATTTCATTTCCGATTCAGTCCATCTTGGGTTTCATTGTTCCTGGATCCCAGTAAGCAACCATTTGCCGCGTAAGTCACCACAGAGAAGTGACTATCAACGTACTTACTTCTATTGCGTAGTTGAATAGTACGAACTTGAAATCAGATTTTCTGATAAATGCATTCCATGTTTGAGGAACTCCGCAGGATCCCACAGTAGAAGTTGAGACTCAGGACTTTTTTTTAGGTTGCTGACTGGAATTGCATGAAAAGAAAACTTCCTCTCATCTGGTCGGACTGACTCAGTGCTTACTCCGCAGTAAAGAAGCTATGGCATCTTGAGTCTGATTGAGGAGCTCTCCTAAATGCTTGATATTTACAACACTCGGCTCATTTCTGTCTCGAGAATCTTTAGGTGTTGCTACATTCTTGTCAACGATCAACTTTCAGAATCATTGTTGTAGAAGCTCCGCCCTAACTCCGCTTTTGCCGACTTGGGGATACCAACGGCCGATAATCTTTTGCGGGTGGTCCGGTGCTTATCGATAAGCACGGATTTCGTTCCATGGTGATATTGATCCGATGAGTTTGCCAACTGGAAAGATGGGAACGCTGTTGAGTGTGTCATTTTCTATCTGAAGATAGCTTATGGGTTCTGTGAAGCATCCAAACCTAAGATGACAGTAACATGTGCGGTCTTCTCTTGGCCCTATAGTGTTAGCGAGACGCTCCGAGGCATCGATTGTACTTGATGGTTTTGTAAGTGGTTAATGTCGTCACCACGCCGATTCGCCAAGGACTTTTACATTTATGAAGTTTCTACTCATCGAAAGCACATCCTTCAAAAATGAATCCTTCCAAGGATCAAGCCGCGTAAGAACAAGAATCCTCGACTGCAACCACGAGTTGTTGGCTGGGCGTTTCCCCAGTGCCGAAGGTAGACCAAACGGCATGAGGTGCCATCTGTGCGCTTGTGTCACTTTGTCGATCAAGAAGGCGAAACATGGATGGGCAAGTCATCCGAACAGGGAGGCGATCAGATGTAGGACCCTAAGGTAGAAACAATATAGGAACAAGACGATTGTATCCATACGCAGGTTGACCCGTCCTGGAGGACAAATATTATAAGTTGAATGATGTGGCACCAGACATGTTGACAGGCTCAACTTCAGCTCAACTCTGTGATTCTAAGTTGAGAGGGGTTGAACGCCCTAAATGTGGCGCCACACTACTCCCTCAGAGTTATTTGACGGACAAATTTAGGCTCAATTCTTCCGCATCAAAGATGCTACGCAGCCATCCGTCATTGAGTCAAGTGCCGTGGGAGCCCCCACAATCAGGGCGCTAGAACAGATGATTCTCCCTCCCCTCACTTTATTCCAGCAAAGAAGGTTTTCTCCAACTAACAAAGTTATCTCATCTTGAACATGGGCACCCTTCTGAAACAGGTCACCTTGCCTAGAGGCAATTCTCCCCTTAATCAATCTGGCGGCCCCCAAATTCACCCCTTCAAGTCCAGTAAATTCCCTAGTCGAATGTTACCGTCCGAACCATGCGGAGACTGGGGAGATTCGAGAACATGAGCGGCCAGTACTGCTGGCACCCCTGACTACTGAGGAGGATGAGCCGACTTCACGTGGTTGCTCGGAGCCAAACTCTCCGTAGGATCTTCATAGCCTAGGCTGCCGCCTGTCCAGCTTTGTGCAGCAAACCCCAAAGTTTGCCCAATCCAGCAAACTCGACAGGTCCTAACGGCTCGGCGCCAATGCACTGGGCCGCGTTCCAAGCATCATCCCCGCCGGACGAGCCCCGGTGGCAGTGTATCTCACACGGCCGAAAAAGTAACCTCAGAGGTTCAGAAAGCTCGGCACGGAGAACCTCTGCGATCGTCCCGATATCCTGGGGGAATCGCCTCTTAGATGAAGGACCGGTGCGTTTGCGGAACCCTTGGATCTGGCTTTACTGGTGCGATTTAGCAATTAAGGGACAATAAACTTCGGAGTTGAAGATTAAGTCCCCAGCTTGGCGCAATAGCTGTTGATGTATAAGAGGGGAGATATGTCCATCTCGCTGTTAGACATCGGCACTATAGCTCATCACGCACCATTTAGTTAGGGTCTTACATTCTTTCCTTATTCAACCCTTTTCTACACTCATTATTTCACAATGGTTGTCGCTCACCTTTTGCTCGCAGCAGCGCTTGCGCCGGCAGCACTAGCTACTCCCCTCAAGCTGCGCGACGTCGCATCATACGATGGAAACCCGCTGGCGGACAGACAACTCTTCCCCAATCCCTACTACACAGATGAGATCACGAACCTCGCCGTTCCTAAGCTCACCGGAGATCTCGCAGCGAAGGCAGCCAAGGTCGCCGAGGTGCCCACCTTCGCATGGCTGTGAGTGTCCTGAGCCGGACCATAGGACCATCACGCTTTACGAGCGTCTGCTGACAACCGCAGTGATACGCGCGAGAAGATTAGTCTGATGAACAGCACCCTGGCGCAGATCCGCAAGTTGAACCAGGAGGGTGCCAACCCGCCGTACGCTGGCACGTATGTCATCTACAACTTCCCAGACCGTGATTGCTCTGCGAAGGCGTCCGCAGGCGAGCTCGTCATTGCCGACGGCGGCGTCGAGAAGTACAAGAAAGAGTACATTGACCCCATCGCTGCGCTCGCCAAGGAGTACTCGGATATTCGCCAAGTGTTTGTATATGGTAAGATCCCCTGATGTCGTTCAGAAATCCACGTTTGCGGCATGCTAACAACATGCAGAACCTGATGGACTGGCCAACCTTATCACCAACATGAACGTGGCGAAGTGTACTGGCGCAGCAGATGCGTACAAGGAAGGCACCGACTACGCCTTCAAGACCCTCAACCTTGACAATGTCGCAATCTACGTGGATGCGGGTCACGCAGGCTGGTTGGGCTGGGAAGCGAACCTGAAGCCCACTGCCGAGCTGTACAGCGAACTGTACAAGAAGGCCGGCTCTCCCAAGGCGGTCCGTGGCTTGGTCACGAACGTGTCAAACTACAACGGCTGGAACCTGACGAGCGCGCCGGCGTACGCAGAGAGCAACAAGCAGTGGGACGAGTCCAAATTCCACGCCGCCTTGACACCGTTCCTCAAGGAGGCTGGGTACCCGGCAAACTACCTCGTCGACCAAGGCCGTAGCGGCAAGCAGCCGACGGGACGCCAGATTTGGGGTGATTGGTGCAACATTAAGGAGACTGGCTTCGGCACGAGACCGAATGTCAAGACTGGCATTGATACCCTGGATGCCTTTGTCTGGGTTAAGCCCGGTGGTGAAGCTGATGGTACGAGCGATTCGACTGCGGCTCGCTATGATGAGAAGTGCAGCTCTGGATCTTCCGTGATCCCGGCCCCGGAAGCCGGAACTTGGTTCCAAGAGTACTTTGTGCAATTGTTGGAGAATGCCAACCCCGCGTTCTAGATGACTATGGAGAAGCCTATTTACATGGTGTAGAGGTCACTCTATCTTCCTTTCTTCGTACATCAATAGGGTCCAGGAGTTTAGCGAAATGCAAAACTGCAACTTTTCCACTGCACTATCTTCATCAGGTTGCAAGAACATTGAGTTTCCACCACATACTTTGACCTGAAGTTATGCAGATGCCCTAACTTCCTTCAGCGTTGTGGGGACTAATGTGCTGAGATTGAATCTTAAAGATGGTGACTCCAACGCGGGGATGAGCTTATGTTTTGTCTCTTCAACTCGCGCCAAAGCCTCTTCAAGTTTGACTACCTCATGCTGGCAACCCGTCCAAATAGGAAACCTGCCAAATTCGGACTTCAAAGTCAGCGGCACCGGCAGACCTAATAGAGACCGAGATGCAGCGGCTAACCGCAACATCTGTCGAATTCAAACACCAAAAAGGAGCTCGATGGCGCGCTTCGGCCCCGCATGCCCCAGCGGAACGCCTGCAATCTCGCCCCTTTTGGAATTTGCACCGCCCAGGCCCGAGCTTCAACTGGGAGTTCCACCAATCGCATTGAACAGCACGTTGGCCGAGTATGGGGAATCCAATGTACTGCAAACGCAGAGTGACGAAGTCTTTTTGATCGAAAGCCCCTTGGTGCCGAACTCTCTTGTTCTTCGAAAGGGGAGACAAGCCGCTAGTATAATATGTAAAGCACCACGCGTCCCACGCGGGCCGGCCGTCTGAACTGTTCATCTGTACTATTCACAGTCGTCCCGTCTCTCGTTGGTGTTCCCTGCACGGTTTCTCAACCTCTCATTCGCTTCTCATTCTCCCTGTTCGCTATCCTTCTTATTGTTGATATTTTGCTGGTACATAAGATTACAATCCCTGGCCTAAAATGAAGTCCTTCACCCAAGCCCTTTCCCTGGCAGCCGGCCTGTCCCTGTCCTTTGCCAGTCCCACCCCGGCCGTCTTCCCGAGACAGACCAACAGTTCCAAGAACCTGATCGTCTTGTAAGTCACCCGCATACCCGTTCCGTACGTCCATATCTGCGGAATGAAAAGAGAGGAAGAGAGCTCCATCTGACTCGGATACCCTCCCCGTAGCGGCGACTCCTACTCCACTGTCGGCTTCTGGCCCGGCGGCACCCTCCCGGCTGCCGGAAACCCACTCGGCAACCCCTCCCTGCCCGGCCAGACCACTTCTAGCGGCTTGAACTGGGTCGGCCATCTCACGAGCACCCTCAACACATCCACCATCTTGACCTACGACTTTGCCGTGACCGGCGCAACCACCGACAAGGATATCGTCGACACCTACGCGCAGTACTGCGTCGACGACCAGGTCGACCAGTACAAGCAGTACGTGTCCAGCGTCGTTAATAAGGACAATGCCCTCGTCGCTGTCTGGATCGGCATCAACGATGTTGGCGAACCGTTTTGGGACAAGGTGTCTGCGCCTGTCACCAAGATCATGGACCGCTACTTTGAGCTCCTTCAGACTCTCGCCGATGATGGTCTGAAAAACTTTGTCCTGCTCTCCGTGCCTCGTATGTTATGCCCTGAGACCAACCTCCTCTTTGATATATTTGATGCTAACACATTCCCACCAGCCTTTTCTGACCAGATTCCCGCCATGATCGGCCAGTCCGAGACCGACCTGGCCCGCCTGCGCTCCGACATCACCTCGTACAACGCCGCCCTCGAGACCCGCCTCGCCACCTTCAAGTCCGCCAACAGCGGCGTCAAGGGTCTCGTCTTTGACACCAAGCCCTCATTCGACACCGTTGTCGAAAACTTTGTGCAGTACGGCGCCAAGGATGCTACCTGCTACGGCTCCAGTGATTGCATCTGGGCCGACAACTACCACGCCGGCCTAGCTATTCACAAGCTTCTTGCCCAGAACTTGGTCAAGGGTGTTGCCGCGAACTTTGTCTTCTGAGCATGGTAGATACTGGTCGGGCAGATGGTGGACAATACATACAATCTTGAACGTAAATGAGCACTCACAGCTCTCATTCACACTTATCTTGCTTTGACTTGCTGCATCCAGTTGAACGTGAATCTGTTTACTGCCGAGACAGTTCCAGCCGGGAAGAGCATGCCCCCATATCTTGGTGTTCATTGACCAAGAAGAGGAAAAGTGTCCGACTCGAGTTCAAGCCATAGGAATCGGGCAACTAAAAGAAATTCACAATCGAAGAAGATACAACAACGAAATTCGAAACCAATGGTATTTAAATAATGGATTCAAGGGTTTTGGTTGATCAGAAGACCAAACGATAACCTAGATTAATCGAAAGACGTACATCGGGTTTAATATGTAGTGGTATCAATGCTAAAAGCTAATAAAGATCACCGTCAGCCTCTCTCAAGCGTTCAGGCTGACTTGACACCTTCAAAATCCACCACTCATTCCCGCAGAGTACCCCCTAGCCAATGTTAGAGACATCCATAATCCCCTAGCTAAGGTAGTTGACCATTTTGTCTCTACGCAAAACCTACGTCGCGTCTTGCTATCCAGCCTTGCTACACTCTTCGAATTCGTAGGCCTCGCACGGTAGAGACTAGTTTGAATTGTGTTTCCGATGTGTCGCAAAAGCTAACGAACATACGCACCCTTCCCAGGTTATAAGTATACTCTAATAATTTTATATTAAATTAAAATAACCTTATTAAGCTATGTAAGAAATAACGCTATTCTCTTATTACCTTCTTAATAAATACTACTTTAAAGTCGCTTTAAACAAAATTACTTATTATAACTAAATAAGTATTTAATTAGGATAGTTATATTAAATAATATTATATATTAATAATGCGCAATTATAAACATAATTAATAAATAAGATTAAAAAAGTACTAATATATTAAAAGAAACTGTTAAGGCGTTAGTAGGTATTGAGGGTAAGTATACTAGGGAGCTAGATATATACGGGGGTACTTTTGTCTTGCAAAGTAAGCACACCGCACTGTTACTGAGTATCGCAGCCCTAACTTCTGCAAACATACCCCTACGACTAGCTGGCCGTAACAGATTGGTTGGCTTCCGCGATCTTTTGCTTTTTCGCTCCATTAATGTTGATGTGAATGGACCAAGTTGATTACGGTATGGCCCTAATTCGTGGGTTAGACGCCGCTGACTGTGATAGGCTTAGTGAGGATGTGATCACGCAGGATGAAAAACCTGGCGGTTTTTCAGATGAAACTTCCCTTTGATTCGTGAATGCTGTCAGAGCAACACAGTTCGGCGGGTAATTGGATGGATTGACTTCTAACCAACTGAAGGGGCTCGGCAGTCTTTCAGCCAGCGTCTTGAACCGCTCGTTCGCTATACCGTCGTCATCGACGATTTGGGCATCGTACCAGGCGTCACCGCCCCAGACGTCAATCTCCTTACAGTCGCACCCTCGAAGACGCCGATTCACTGCAGGCTCGGACTCCATGATTGCTAGTCACTCAGCCGCCAGGCTCGTAGGTGATGAGGCTGAAGCTCAGGAAGTTGTTCAGGGGCTAAAAAAGGGTTTCCTCCTTGGCTGGCTTGGTGATGGCGTAGGCCGAGAACACCACACCCACGATTCACGAATGGCGGGCTTTCTCTCAAAGGACAAAACATGGGGTACCGTAACCGCCGGGACTCCACACGAGTCTATTGCACATGAGGTGTGTGCTACGTGTAACCCGAGATCAGGCGTAGCTTCACCAATGCTTGATTCGTTGCCACCGTTCTCGTGGTCACGTCTTGTGGAAATTCCGAAGGACCATATCGCGACGTACATGCCGGTTCCAGCGAGATGCAGATGAATATACCAATAAGGGAATGCTACATCCCCACGCGGAGAGGGTCCCGTTTTCAACGACAGATAGGCAGGGGTTGCGATAGTCAATCAGGCTGCGCTGTCTCAATACAGATCAGGCTGCGGCTTTCCAGTATAAGAAGCTTGTCGCCCCCCACCAACAAAATTTGAGGCCTTTTCACAGTAATTCTAGCAGTCTTTTCTTTCGCCGGTGTCGGCGTGCCCCCCTTTCCAATATGCGTGGCTCTACCCTCAGCCGTTGGCATTGGTTGATTGCCCTCATCATCGTCGCAAACGTCTCCTTGGCTCCCGCACAGAGTCTATTATTTCAACAGTTCTTCCCAGGATGGGATGGTCTCATAAAAGATGCCCTCAAAGGAAATTGTTCCGGGCAAATGCACAATTACACACAAGACCCCAACGGTCAACCGAAATGGGACGTGGTTGACTGCATACTTGAGGACTTCACGGAGACACGAAAAGGAGAAGCAGCAGCCGCTGCACTCACGCTGGGTCTCGCTCCAACGGTTCTCCAAAACCTTGGGCCTAGCACATCCGAGACGAGCCTCTTGTTCACGCGTCGGCCTCTTCTTGCTTTGCTGCTCGCCATCTCGTCACCCTGGCCGCGCAACCCGGACGACACCATCTTCACAACTGCAGTAGACCCACCGATCCCGGTGGAAGTTTTCAGGGGATCTCTTCGTTGGTCTGAACCCATGGTGTTATTAGTTGAGTATGCTTTGGCGCTGGGTGCGGCTGCAAATGTGGCGTTGCTTGCATACCAGCTCGGCCATTGGGCATTCTTCATGTCGGCGAACAATGTCAATGACCCAGTGTGGTGGACGTACTGCTCATTTTCCATTCATTTGATTGGTATTCTCGGAAAATTTCTACGATTCAAGGTGCACGAGTCAAAAGGAGACCATGGTTTGAAGGACAACTGGTTCCAACGATGGTGTTCTCACGAGTGGCGTTCAGCGGCTTACAAGAAAGAGGCCGGATTGCAACTCAAGGAGAGGGAGGGGAAATTTTGCATACTGTTATCAGTGCTTGCAACATGGATTCTGTCAATTGCACCGACGTTGCAGGTCCTCATGGGAACAATTATGTTGTCTGGGTCGCTGCTTACCAACCAGGCTGATGCCCGCAACTGTCTATTCAGATACGTTTGCAGTGCAATCGTTGCTCGCGCTCTGCTCTCATTTGAACTCGCGTATTTGACGCGCAACGTGGAAACTCGAGATCCAAAGAAGAGCTAGAAGATTGATGCGCAACATGGAACGCTGGAACTCGAAGAACTGACAAATCACGGAAAAACCGGGACAGGACTTTCAGATTCGCTCTTCCACAGATCAAGATGAGCAAAGGTTTTTGTCCAAGCAGACTTTTCTGTCTCCCAGGAAGAGTTCGGGGATGTTGTAGAAGCAACGGTATTCAGTGAACGGCTAGGTGGGTTGGCTAGTCTTGGAGCGACTGAAGAAGTCTGACAGCTTGTCTACCTGCTCCTTGAGCGGCTGACCTATGGGTATCGGCGTGTAAGATTCTCTGGTGCGGCCATGAGCTTGTGGTGGCATGGAGCATATTTCTTGGGTGGCTATGATCATGTCGTTGGTCTAGGAGGGAACAGGAAAGAGTTAAAACCCGTTATTACCTATAATATAATGCAGGCTTAGTTCAAATACAGCCGCAAATTTTGTTATGTATACCATACCAGGTGCGTGCGAGATGCCCACTCCTCGATTGTTCAGCCAGTGAGGGTGGTCTGATATGGGTGGAGATCAATAATTATCTTCACCTTTCTGCGGCGAGGCAGGGCTGTATAAGAGGATCTCTACGCAGACGCCTACATTCATTAGCTATGACCCATTTTTCTTGCCTCTACTCCCCTCCCTTCCCTCCTCCCCTTCCGCTCCTTCTGCCCTCTTCTCCGTCCTCGGCATTTCATAATCTTACAATCTTCCCGGCATCACAAGCGAAGTGTTGAGCCGAAGCGAATCTATTGTCAATTTTGGAGCATCTTTTACCACTTGTTATCCTCTCTCGCATTGAGTTGAGGCCTGTTATGCTGCCAGCCTGATTCTGCGGCGACCGTCACCGGTCATCATGGAAGCTTTAGGCGTCGTCGCTAACGTCATAGCCGTTGTCGAGTTGTCGTTCAAGCTCGGGTTTCTGTGCGGCGATTACATTAATCAGGCCTGCAACGCGAAGGACGACATACAGAAGCTGGAGGCTGAAAGTGTCGCCTTGAGTCGGAACATCTCACAAGTCAAAGAACTCTTAGATGGAGGGAACACAGATATAAGTCAGAGGCGTCAGCTAGTAGCATTGGAGAAGTTCAGAGACGATATAAAGCAATACGAGCAGCGACTTCAAAAGCTAGTAACGAAGCTTGATACTAAGTCAAACACTAGCCGACCGAGGGTCATCAGCGAATCCCTCAAGTGGCCTTTCACAAGCAAAGAGGTTGAGCAGACGATCATTGACTTGCAAGGATGGTGTCAGTCATTCGCATCAGCACTACAGGTTGACCACTTGTGAGTCATTCTTCATACGAGCTACTCAGGCGTACAGCCAGAGTTTTCGCTTGTCCATTCAAGTAACAAGACTCCTACTGACGTGTACTATCTAGACATATTGCATTACGAGTAGAAGACAAGTTAGACTTCAATGGTCTTCCTGCCGCAAAAAGAGCAGCCTTTGATGATTATGACAACGAGCCAGAGCCACTCTGCCGCCCCGAGACAAGAAGAGACTTGCTGCAACAAATCATAGACTGGGCTAGTGATCCAGATGGTAAACGCATTTTCTGGTTGAGGGGCCTTGCGGGTATTGGAAAATCTACGATCTTTCGGACCGTCGCACGATACTTCGCCGAGCAGGAACAGCTCGCCGCGAGCTTTTTCTTTGACAGGACTAGCAATGAACGCAACAGGGCCGACCTTTTCGTCACTACAGTTGCTAGGCAACTCATTCGAAGAATGCCTAAGCTAAGGATCCGACCATGAAGGCTATACAAAAGGAGCCTGATATACCTGGGAAAAAACTTCAAATACAGTTTGATGGACTTACGGAAACTAACTAATCCTCCGGAGCGATCTTAATCCTCTATAGACTTGAGATATCAAAACCAAAAACATACGACACCGAGTATTCGCTAGTCGTCACCGACCCAACTACTAATCCGGCCCTCATTAGCTTGTCTATGGGAGAGCGGACGGGATCCCGAATTTTCCAATGGGTATGGTCGTATGTGAGGGTATTGCGAGTTTGGGCTACTCAAGGCGCACCGCAGGACTGAGATCCCCTTGCCACCAGCATCAATCTGAGATCAATGATTTTGGACCCAATCAGTTCAGAACTCAATCTTGAGTAAACTACTGCTATCATTTCTTTCCTCAGAGCGTATCAGCAAGATTTGATGTGTACATAGGGAACACCACAATCTGATTAGCCATTCTCATAATCAAGAAGCTCAGCAATGAGTAGTGCATGAGATCACAGCATAGATTCAAACTATGAATGATAGATTGATTGTCACACTGGTTCATTTGTTCAGGAACTCCAGGACATTTGTTGAGGTGTATGACCCACTAGTGGTTGATAGAGGCTTGAGAGCACTAAATGTATAATAGGGGCTTCCACCCACCTCCATATCTCTGGTCTGGTTCAAGCAATTCACCACCATTGCACGCTACCTGTACCTTCGTTCAACAACATTCATGTTGGGCCTTGGGCGCAGGACGTTATAGAAGTTCGCCGCGAGGGTTCCCATTCCATGGGCTTACCACCTGAGTCGGTTGTGGGGCATGCGCCTTTCACACCTCATCACACTATTGGTACACTGGAAAGTACGTCCTCTAATTTGAAGGTCTTCTCTCTCCATACATCCTGTGTGCTGTTATGCGCTCTATATTTCAATCTCAATGCTTCTGCCGCCCCATGCTGGCCATAGCCTGACCCGTCAACATCTATAAGAGCTGGAGGTATCCATCTGTGGTCAAAATGGTTGTCAACCCGTGATCTTTCGTACCCACTGGCTTTCAGGCGTCGGCTTGAGCTTCCTTTTGCTTCTCGGGCTTGCGGGCGTAAACAACGTGGCTGGACCCCGCGGTTAGTCTGTTTCGAGCCATAGAATGTAGGAGATTGGTATCGTGGCATTGACTCACAGGTGGAAATACGCTTGGAGCTTTGGATCTCTGAGGGCCTTGCGCATCTCGGCAACGAAGACGATGATTTCGGCATACTCCCACCCCATGATCTCCTTGAGCAAAAATAACGCGAATCCCTCAAGTGACTGATCATTGTACAGCAAATTGCACTCGCCAACCTCTTTCATCTTTGGATCCTTAGGCCAAGCACCGATGGGGATGGAATATCTCTTCTCAACGATGTCGACATAGCCGACTGCTTCAAGAGCTCTGGCAATGCCGTGATTGTGGGTCTGGGTCAGCGTCTTGCCGAGCTTATCGGCTGCCTCAAAAAAGACCGGCGCCCATCGACTGAAGACGTGGTCTTTAGGGATATCGTCACCGTAAAGTTGCGACCGAGTCGTGATATCGAATTCCTTGACTTCGACATAGCCTCCGGGAACCAGATGGTCGAAAACTTGTTTGTACAAGGCCGGCCAATCCGCGATACTGGCTTCAAGGTGGCGGATATGAATAAAGTCGAAATCCTCGGACCACGTCCACGGCTGCTCGATGTCGTCGACTTGGAACTTACAGTTCGGAGGAACCCAGCCAGGCTGAATGGGAGAGATGTCGACACCAGTAACTTGAGCAGACGGAAATTCGTCGGCAAAGTCACTAGACTCTGGGTGTCATAAAAGTACATTACGTTTCGGGTATAAATCTGGAGACTCACATAGCCCAGATACCAGTTCCAGTTCCAAGATCGAGGACTTTCTATGGGGGTTTTTAGAAACCAGAGAAATATTGATCTGATCAAAGTGAGCTTGCTTACTTGCGGGCTGTCACCAATAGGTGCCAAGAACAGTTTGTCATCGAAGAAAACGATCTCCCAATAGTGACTTATGGTAGAAACATTGTCGTCAGCTGCGATGATCTCACGATTTCCATTTGCACTGAGGGTGCAGTTAGCAGACAACGTTTATACTTACGCAATGTCCAGCGCTTCATTCTGCTTCTCATCGTTGGGGCCCCAGTAATCCGTTTTTTGGGAAAAAGTCCGGCCATGTATGCGACGGTACTCAGTGATGCTTTCGCTCAAAGACGCCGTAGAGGTAGTGCGGATACTGCAATTATCGAATCTCGTACGTCAGTCTTCAGTAATATCGAATGCGCGATTATGAGAGTCACGCCGAAGTGGAAATCACCTCTCCGTATATGCCTGCGAGCTTTCCTCCCCATCGGCGTCAATGCCTTCATCCTGCACTTCATATCAGTACGCTAGTCCTTTCTCCCAACGCTAATTCCTAAATGTGTTCACTTCTGGATCATTCAATGTCTCCGATCATTGACATGATCGTAAGTAGGAAGGGGCATAGCTCACATGGTTATCAGCGACTACAGTCGCCGCAACCTCATTTGCAGGAGTGGCGTCTGCCGCGGCCGCGACGTTCGGAGCCTGCATTTCGCTTGAGTTCTGTCAATTATTCGTGACGGGTGGATGTGAAAAGTTGTGGATAAAATAGTCAGCATAGAATCTGGATGATGATCAATGACAGGAAGGAAATAAAGACCGCGTGGAGCACGGAGTTGCCCCTCACTTCAAGTAAGCTGTTTGGGTGCTCCATTGAATCTTCCTCCAAGTTTATCCACTCCATGTTCTCGGCAAGCGCCTCCGTCTCCGCGAGCGAATGAGGTCCATCGTTGCGGTCACACGAAATGCAGGATTTAAGCGGTTTTCGGAAGGTAAATACTGGTTTTCACGTTCAGGGAGGAACCAACAGAGGACCAGTCCCAGTAAGTACATGAGGTGACAGGGGTTAGGCTCTGTTGGTTCCAACCGAGGCATAACGCCTGTAGCGTTAGTCAGACGAGTCTCAAATACCAGATATACAATGCTACAGAATTTCTTTCTCGGCTTATGTGATTGTTGAGAAAGATTCGCTGATGTCGATCAGAAATTCCAAGGAAAATCGACATAGTTACAGACTTACAAGCCGCCGAAACATCGTGTTGGTGAGATTTAATACTTTTGCGTGGCTTCGAGAACTACAGCCCGCCGACATATTCATTCCATCATTGCTGGGTTCGTGCAAGGGCGTGAGGGTAGCTCAAGTCATTCCCTTATTCTACCAGTAGGGTCTCGCAGGCTTAGGCTTGATACCGAAGCATCGTTCAACGAGAAAGTAAAGTATGTCACCCTGAGGACCGAGAGACGTCAACTGCCTGATCTTTGAGCTCATCATCACCATTCGCTAGCATTTCATCTGAAGTCCATCTGCAAATAAAGGATCATGAACTCCGTAAATCCTACTAGTAGATACCTGATACTCCTTACCCGATGAGCACACGGTAACATTATAGTCTCACAGCGTGTTATCATGAATAAATAGACACCCAGAGGAACGAAAAGTGCATGAAAAATTGAGAGATAGTAAAGAATATGCTACAGGCATCTACTGTGTCTTGACGTGGCAATTGTCCACACATAAGCGGAACATGTACACCCATTGGACTCTTGGTACTGACGGAAGCGTCATCTTTGCCCACTGGCTTTGTTCCTTTAGCTTCCAGTTCTCCAATCCGCTATCAACAACTCCGAATAGCCCAGGGACTGGCGTCACGTCCCAGTCTTCTGCCTTTTGCAAGCCGAATTCAGCCTGTTGATCATGCCAGCGTCCCAGCAGGAACCTCGCTTTCCAGGTAGTGAGTAGGTCTTGCTGCACTGACCACTGCGTTGAGTCCCCATCAAACCTCTGGAAGAAGTCTTTGGTTGCAGCATCTTGCTTGAAGCCAAAGATGTTGTTGAAAAGTGCGTACTGCTCTATTAGTTCACGATTTTCTACAGAAACCAAGACTGTAATTCAGAGTTAGCGCCAGAAAACAAGGTCAATTGAGTTAGTGCAGTCTTACCAATGCGCTCCTCACCATTGAATCCCCAGAGTCCAGATTGCATTGCAGCATCGATCTCAGCGTGGATGGCGACTATTTTCTGACAAACCAGGAAAGACTGGACGCTCCAAAGAGTGCGGAAATTCTGCTGGTCACTCAAAGGCGGGAAGAGTGTATGCAGGATCTCTCCTGTGATGCACACTGTTCGGGCGTGATCCGCGATGGGAGACAGGTATTTGAAGGGCCCCATGGGAGGACGAGCTGACCAATAGTGGCCACAACTTGAATCCCAGTCAAGAAAGACAATATTCCTGTTCGGGGACCGATCAAACCACAAGTCGACTGGCTCTCCGTTCGTAAGTGCGGCAGTCTCTGTCTGCCATTCCTCGTCTCGCGGGACTGGAAACCCCGCAACTTGTCTTGATTCACGACAGACGGCTGCGATGACTGGAGGGACAGAGTTGAGCCTGTACGTCATTTGATGCGTGCACTCCTCGAATCCGACATTTTTCGACAACGATCCATTGTAAATGTATCCTCCCTTGTGAGGTTTGTTTATCTCGACAACGCGGACGCGAGGTAGACATTCATCCCAAATGGCTCGACGAAGCTCTAGAGGGAGCTGAGGGAAGAGACGGAACTCTTGAGGCTGAACTGTTGGCATTCTTCACTCTTTCTGAACAGTGTTTTGGAGTTGGAGGTAATGAGAATCCACGGAATTCATCTAAGGGTATCGGGTTTCTTGTCAGGAGGCGGTCGCGTCTAAGGAATCTACTTGTAACATTGAGGAAACCCGACAACGTGGGAAGCCCTGGTTGATAGGTGGATCCGCCACACGCCAACGTGTTGATGCAACCAAGACTATCCTAGGCCCACGATGCCAACCCCCGCCTGGCATCGAAAACAACGTTCCCTGTAAAGAGTCTAAAAGGCCGGGCAGAATATTACACAAGTCTTTACCTTACTCAAGCACAATCAAATTGCGCAAGCTGCTCAACTAGCTAGGCCTTGGCATGAGTTGACAGGTCCAATTGACCAATAACAAATTACTCGCTATCGCTATCGCAATTTACACTCAAAGCCGATGATAAGAGTCTATTCCGATTTCCGAAATGAGCTTGCGGGGCCCCGGGATCGGCCCTGGACGATGACAATAAAAGTTGTGGCTATTCGCTGTTGCGTCTCATGTTCGGTCGCACCCGGTATTGAATCTTCCTGCCCGTTTGATCTTCAGTCGCAATGGTGAACATCTGGGCATCAGCGCTTCTCGGCGCTTCCACGTTGAGCGCCTACGCTCAAGCTCAAGTTGGCGAAACAACACCACTTCTGTCGTATGCCAATATTACGTCTGTCCTTGACAGCATCCTTGCTCGCGGATACATAAACGTCGGCACAACAGGGGACTACAAGCCTTTCACGTACCTCGTCACGAACCAAACGACCCTACCGAACACAACAGCAATCAACACAACCTATATCGGCGCCGACATCGATGCCGCACAGTCCCTATCCAACGCCCTTGGCCTGCCTAAGCCTCCCCGCCTCGTCGCGACGAAATGGGCAAACATCACGAGCGACTTGTCCGCTGGTAAATTCGACATTGCCATGGGCGGCGTCAGCCTGACCCTCGCCAGAGCTAGAACTGCCTTCTTCTCCACAGCGATCCAGAGAGTCGGCAAGACAGCCTGTATCCGTTGCGCCGATGCTGACAAGTACACCGACATCGCATCGCTCGATCAGGCCGGTGTCAAGGTTGCCGTCAATCCTGGCGGGACCAATGAGGCGTTTGACAGGGCGAATCTCAAGTCTGCAACGATCGTCATGGTGGAGGATAACAATGCGATATATCAGGCTGTGCTGGACGGCACTGCTGATGCCATGATTTCTGACTTGATTGAGGTCGAGTTGCAGGTCAAGCTGCACGAGGGCGAGCTTTGCATTGCCAACCCTGATGCACCATTCAACTTCGAGGAGCTTAGCTATGCGGTTCCGAGGGATATTGTATGGAAGCATTTCGTCGATGCTTGGGTCCATGTGCAGCTTGGGAGCGGTTCTTGGAACGGCACACTCGAAAAATGGTTGAACTACAAGTGGCCCAGTGTTTAAATCCTTCGAGGCTTCATGTCAGAAGTTGTAGTCATTAGTATCTAATGCCATGAATCATAATAAGATCTTTTCGATTGTATGGGAGACTTCGTTGATGCCATGTTCATAAGTCATTCAGAGTATGTCCGTTTGCCCTAAAGCTTCGATGAGGGCGACTGGCTTGTTAGGTTTAATTTTGCGAGCTTCACCGCGTGTGCTGCCATTCCCCTACGCTCGAGTTAGCAACGCGTCATCATCAGACTGGATCCTCGTATCTACTCACCAAGATGCCTGATACCCTGCCCCAGATGCTCCGTAATTATGCACAACAAGCCCCTCGTCTCTCTTCTCAGCCTCGATTCTCGGCCCGCCTTTACGATTCGGTCTCAGTCCGACGCCATGCTTGATAATTTTCAAGTCTTCGGGCTTGCCCAGCTCTGGGGCTAATGCGCAACAACGCTGGAGGATAGTCTTTGTCAACTCAGAATCAACCTCCTTATCCCAATTCCCGTCTTGACGACATCCGCCGAGAACAACGCCGCCTGCTAGAGGCCTCTGGAAGATGTAGGTGGTGTCGTTGTCTACCCTTCGAGGTGAACGGAAATACATCCTCTTGAGGGGCTGAATTGGCTGCTCGACCAAGATGGTTTGCCCTCGAGTTGGATACATGGACTTATCCTCCACTCCGCCGAGGAAATAGGATCCTAAGCCTGTACAGTTGAAGACAGTGGTGACATCTGAAGAGATGCGAGCCTCATTGATGTGGCCAACCTTCTTGCGAACCAGAACGACGTTGCTCTGTCTACATTGCTCAAGAAGCCTGGGGGAGTCAGAATCTCCGCGCATCACGAGATATGGGTGAGGTAATGTGTAACTTACCACTGCAAGTAGATTTGAGTGTTGATCACAAACGTGTTAGGCACATCCAGCCCAAACACGGCCTTGTCAGGTAACTCGTCCGTACGAAGTGGCACAGTACCACCGACCAAGTCATCGTACCACAGCTTGCCAGTTCCTATACTAAGGATTCCTGCATCCTCGATTTTTTGGTCGAAAATCATTCGCAGCGGCGAGCTCTTAATCCCCGCTTCCGGTGCGCTCTTTGCAATCTTCTTAAATCGCTCAAAAGCGACGCGGTCGAAGGACTCGAGAAGGCCATTGTCGTTGGCCGAGGAGCACCAATTACCTCCGGCCCACGGCGAGCAGTAGTGGATGTTGTAGTCGCCGGGGAAGTACTCTGCCAAGATCGTGATCTTTGCGGATGGGAACTCGGCTCTGAGGGTCAGTGCGGTGGTGAGGCCGATGACGCCGGCACCGAGGACAACGAAATGTTGCGAGGGAGTCGTCATATTGTCGTGTCTCTGACGCTGTGAGATTGACGAGTGCTTGATAAGTGCGATGTGAGGTTGATGCCGCCGGGCCTGTTCGACATCCAGTGATGTGTCGAAGCAGCCTGGCTCCGGTCCGGGCTGATGGCTTTTACGGCTGATTGATGATAAATGTCCGAAGTCGGCCTAAGCCTCGACGCAACGGCGCCGATTGTGGAACATGTCTCGGCCACCTTACTCGTCCGCCTAGCTACAGTAACAACGACAAGTTGCAACAGTGCATCCTTGGAGAATTCCAGCAATATCGAGGCAAGTGATATCGCACATCTATGAAAGTTCACTTCTCAGGATCAAGTTCCTGAGATTAGTTGCGTCGTACGGGCAGAGTAGGTCACACGGCTTACGTTGGATAAACCCTTGAACGTCAGTACAGGTAACTCCGACAAGATTCGAGGGTTCGAATTTGCCTTATTGACCACTTGAAATTTGAAACAGTTTTCATTGACCAAGAACCCTAACTGCAATTTGGTTGTATGCAAAGGCCTTGCGCAAAAGTCCTTGCCCTTAAGACCATGATTCCATCAAGAAGAAATTGCGATCACATCTTTTTGCTAGCTTTATCCTCCCCTATGGGATTACTCGGCTGCATCCCCTCGAGGTTCACGCCTTTCTTCTGTTGCGAAGGCATCGACGACATCGTGTTTGGGTCTCCACTGTGTCTCTAGAGATCTCTCAGCCAAAAAGCATTGCTGTCAATCCGAACTGGAGGCCTACTCTCTCTTCCTCTACCTCTGCTTCGTGTATGAAGTCATGACCGGCTTCCACGGCGTCGTCCGACAGACCGTGTTCCTTCAACCCGTGATCTTGTCTGCTTGACATCTCGTAGTAATTTATGTCAATAAGATGAACTTGCGTGATTGGAAGTCGAATTGCGATTCTTTCAGTCAGAAGTTCTAGGCTTTATCCACCTTACAAGCCATGCGGATTCCCCTTCGTTTTATAGAACTCGGCGGAGTCAATGTGGCCGGACGTCATGAACTTGTCGAAGTGAGGGGTCTATGGTTCCTCGTGCGAAGCATGTACACCACCATCAGTGAGGGCACGGTGAGCAACCCCGCATTCATCACGATGTTTCGTCCACTCTTAGGTAAGCCCGCAAGGATGACAGACCATCATAACTTCCATCTACAGACGTGCAATCGCGGGGTTAGCCTCACCATGATGACGGTCTATGCCTGGCTGGACTGGTTCACCAGCCAATCGTAAACAAATGCACTTAAGATTGGTTGAAGCTAAAGGCAATTGCGGAGATGAGGAAGGGTCAGAAAGCAACTAGACGATCGGATCTGTCGGTAGTGATCTCTAGAGCCATGAACGCTAGGTACAAGAGCTTGACTATTTACTTGCCGCTGGGCGCGATGTATGATATATCCTGGTTTACACCAGTCTTTACACGAGTGGGGTGCATAACAAATTCGGAGGAGCTAAGCGATAGGCTTCGGGGATATGGTCACGGTGAAGGCGCCGGTGCGAAAACATTGGAAATGAACCAAGACTGTTTGGCCGACAGCCTATCCTTGTTTAGTCACTTTGCTCCATTGATATTATAAGTCTGGTTGTTACTGTAACTATGTTGGAAGATGCGCGACACTGCATGGCGCCAAAAGAGCCTATTCTCGAATGTTTCGCTGACACAAGTACGTCGTTCGCTGACTCTGAGGGAACCCCAGCTGAACGTCGCATATCATGTACTTTCGGATCTATCAATGCCAAGTCCCAGAGTTCAGCCCGGGGAGGCAGTCTGTGTAAGGGACTGACAAGACTACTTTACCCAGTAATCTCACAGGATTCGGGCTTGTCTTCTTATATGATTTGGTTCAACTAAATCGCTTATTCATGACTATCATATTACTTAGATTCATTGACACATTATACTGACAGTTATGATTAACTGCATCATTAAAACCATTACCCATCTTTGGGAAGACGAGCCCACGGCGCCGCTGGTTGACACACTCTTACTCGCGCGCGCAGCCTCATCCTTTGATCGATCCGGGTCATCGCCTATCGGCTGAGTGACCCAATCCTTGGGAATCTGCGCGATAAAGTCGTACCAATAGTCACCCATTGTACGGTAACCCTCATCCGTCGGATGAATGCAATCGTCTCTCAGAATGCCGGTACCTAAAGCCGCAAAGTCCACAGCGAGGACGTGGTGGCTGGCGTTTCTGCGCTGCTCGACAATGCCCGGGATGAGCTTCTGATACTGGACTGTCGCGGGTTCCTGTTCGGCGCTGCAGGTGTCGACAATTTGGGCGACGAGGATAGTGGCGTCGGGGCACGCGGTGATCATTTGGTCGATGAGAGAGCCCAGGCGCTCGGCGGCAGCGGCCGGGTCGTTGCCTTCGGTGGAGACTGCCGGGTTCGGGTTCATGTCGTTGGTGCCGGCGTGGAGGAGAATGATGTTGGGTCTTTGAACCAGGGATGGGCCTACGTTGTCGGCGATGTACTTGATCGTTTTTCCAGACCAAGCAGCCTGCAACTTGTCAGAATTGGGGTCGTGGGAATGGGACCTGTTCTGTTGACTAACATAGTATCCATCGCTCATGTTTCCACCATAGACTGTACCGGCAAATACAACTTCGTTGGCTGCTATGGCTGTCAGATATGGGCCTTTTCTGTCTGCCTAATGGTGGTGGAGTTCAAGTTCAAACTTCTCATGCGCGGTGAGTGAACATACCAGAGAGGTCCTCATCAAGTTTGAGCCTGTAGCCATTTCCATCGCTGCTCAGATATCCCACAGTGATAGAATCACCCACGGGAAGTATTCTCAGCTTGACACCATCTTTGATAACTTGTCCCGCTGGCGTTGCCTTGTACTCAAGGGAGTCGGCCGCGAGCGTCAGCGGGGTAATTAGGGCGATGATGCTGGCGATTGAAAACCTCATCTTGAGGGCCGAGAGCTGGGCGAACGAGACGACACCATCGCGAAAGCCCTCTCAAGAGACTAGGCAGTAGTGTGTGGGTATCAGCCACTTCAAATAGTCCGACGAAGACTAAGGCAATTGTCCATCGTCAGGAACTGACCCGTAAACCGACGAGGGCGATGAACGCATCCCTCGGACACAGCTAGCCGCGATCCACCATAACCAACCCAAATTTAAAGGGTCAATGCCAGGCACCATCTTTCGCTAAGCACTGTAAGCAGCGAGCGGGCTGGGCTACTTGGTGCCGTCGCATTGAGGGCGAAGTGACCGAAGGGCCCCGTTTCTCGACTCCACAGGCAATGGGACCATGCCGTGTGGTCCGGCGCTTTTGTTGTCAGTTGAAGAAGGGCTTTCTCCTCTTTGGCAACCTGCGCTGCACACCACCGGCCATGTTCGCGAGTCACGAGTGAAGCCTCTAGGGAACCAACGTGATCAAAGAGCGTTGAAGCCGTTGGAGAGGGGGTTCCAAATAGCCTGGCAATCTCACCCTGCAGGGCCTTTGCTACGGTGTCAATGACTGCAACTGGCCGCGTGGTGGGCTGCCGGCAGTTCGCCAAGGTGGTCTAGCTCAGCTCTCTAAGGTGCCTAGGTGGCACGGGAGGCGCTGCAAAACCTCGTCATCTGGCTTTCGGCGCGAGACGACGGCGTGGCCGGGTTAGCCGGGCGCAAAGAATGGGGGGAATGTTCAAAGACGACGGAGCCTCGGATACGAGAAAGTGGAGGAAACATCAAATGGGAATGGAATCCTTTCTAGTCTTACTTGCCTGCCTACTGCCCCCCAGTAAGACTTTTGCAAAAGTTTGCCCGTTTGCCAGGCCCTTTTGCCTTTGTGCATGAGTTCTTCGGGCCGCTCCCTTGCGCCAGCACGAACGCCATTTCTGTGCGTTCAACTTGTCAGATGGCAGCGCATGAACCCCTTGACATGAGATGCCAATGCGGCGGAGGATTTTGCTACAGGATGGTCCCAGTTGTTTGGGTTAACCCCAGTGCCCCTTTTTCTTTGTTAATGGATTTTCCACACCAACGAAATTTTCTTTTCTATTTTCTGACGCAGGAAACACCACCAACAGGCACAACCATGCGTCCAGAATACGAAGCAGAGGGAGACGTGGATTCCAAGCAGCAACCGAGTTTTAGCGTGCTGGAGGCTCCGCGTGATGGCAATATCTTAGACATGCTGCGTTGGAACCGCACTTGACAGCACTCCTAGACCGAGACCGATGATTTCATAAATGGACGCCGTTGCTCCAATTTCCAACCAACTTGAAAGCTTAGCCATTCCATCGCTGCTGCTGATCCCCCATGACAAGTGGGTATCATCCACCGCCATGTGCTCTGACGTCGCTAAGACTCTCTTCATTACTACATCGGCATTCTCAGCGCGTCCACTATTTACAACGTCAGTTCGCTGTCACGTCAAGCCCGCCCCGCGCACCATGTGGGTGCTGGCTTCGGCTTTGCGTAGTGGGTTGAACTAATTGCACGTCATCTCTGCCTTTCTTTCTTTTCTTTGTCTTTCTGGTCAGCCTTTATTTCATTCTACAACAAACGACAAAACACTGTAGGGGATATCAAGAGGAAGAGCGTCCATGGCCATCAGCCGTTACAACCAGGCTCTGCCAGTGCTGTCAATCGTGAGATCTGGTTGCATTGGTTGGTGAACTTGTCGCAACAATTTCAACTATATGAAGCACAAGAAGACGAGGCATTGTGGCGAGAGAGAATAAAGATAATGCATGCTAATTGAACGATCTATTCTAAACACAAATCAATCCATTTCTCAAATTCTACTTTCCACCAAAAACGTTGTTTCACGCCAAACGGCCGCCGAGTCCCGAGATATGGTGTCTCACCAAGTGCAACCCTAATACTTTCCGCTAACTGGAGTTATCGCTGACGTCGCCATCGTAACCCTCGTCTGTCTCTTGGTTGCATGCGTCGATAATGGCCTTCTCAGCCTCCTGAGACTGCGTCGACATCCCGCACAGGATAGCAGCCACGCGGTACTCACACAGCTCATGATCACTGCACTCGCCAACCGCGCAACAGGTCCAATCACTCATAAAATACTTCTCCTTAGGGGGAGACTCTGTTGAGGACTCAGTGGAAGACTCAGCGGGAAAGGTCCGTGGGCGGGAATTGAACTGAGGGAAATTAGCTGGACGGTCGCTCAGGGTATGGATCTGGGCATGGCCTGCGTTACAACATTCCTTGCACTGGATGAGGAAGCCTGCGCGCTGCGAAGTCTCGCGCGAGACGGCGTGGGAAAGGCATAGCTGGAACGTGTTAGCGCTTGCCACGTCGGGGCACTCATCTGGGTAGATCGTCATGAGAGGAAGGCCAAGGAGAGTGCCGTTTGTGCGGTATCCAATTTCCTTCGCCTTTTCACAGAGGTAGTAAAGAGGCTCTGGCGTGGGCATGAGACGCAGCAGCGGAAGGCGGATGCCGTTCTTCTCAGAGAGGCAATTCTCTGTGCAACAGACAATCAAGATCTCGGTTTCTTGACACATTTTGTTGAGGAAGGAGTTTTGGCAGTAGGGTTGCGAATGGATCGGGTTATGGCAATTGTTCTGAAAGCGTGACGAGCGTGCTTGTTGTGGATGTAGGTAGTCAAGATATGTGGGAGCTGTTAAGAACTTGACACTTGGACACGAAGAAGGCCGAAGGATTTGCTGGATATATACGCGATGTGAAGACGAGTCGCGTACTTTGATTGAGTCTAACACCACTTGACCAAGATGATATAGTACAACGCTGAACATCGAGACAACCAATTTCCTTAAGGCAACCAAAGCCGATATGATGCAGTCAAAGACTTGACGAGAATGAAAGAGAACCTACCTACAATGTTCAAGGCTCAATGTTCCCTAAAAGAACATTGTCAACTATTGTCGCCTGGCTTTAGACCCAAACAAAGAGCAAGACTCAAGAAAAACACAACGACTTTGTATTAGGCAATTGAGAAACAGACAGGCTCAATCGAGATATGCCTACAGTTCGAGACCAGGCTGTATCATACCCGAAAGAAGTTGATTGAGAACATCAAGTTAGGCTAAACCAGGTGTTTATCGTATTACAGTGTATACAGCCAGCCTTCCATGCCCTCATTCCTGCGGTGCCCTGCTTTTGCTGCTTTGTTGCAACGCCACAAGTAGATATCCATGATGATGATCATTGTAATGCTAACCATAGAGATGGCGAAAGTTGTCCAGATGCCGGTCTAGATTTCGAAATAGCTGGTCAGAGAACAATCCGTTCAAACAGATTTTGGCAATGCATCAACTTACAGTGTAGTGAGGACTTTCTTTTGACATGAAAGCTGTGCTTGCAATGATGCCACCGAGGCCGCCTCCAATGAGACAAGTTGCGCTTGAGACAGCGCGTTTTGAGTGCGAAGTAATGTTGTTTGCTTGGAAAGTAAGCACGCCGGGGACGCAAAACTGGAGGAATCCGATACCTAGAAGTTACTGAAGTTAGTCATGGGACATAATCAGTTCCGGCTCATGCAGATAGGCTTACCAAGGAATGCTCCAAAGTAGCGAGCACCATTAGCTTTGCCGTATACGGTGATCAGCATTCCGACGGCAGTTAAAGCTTGATGGACTGCAATGATAGGCCCTCGAATCTTGTACCTGTCTCCGAGATAGCCGGAGATGTAGGCTACAATAGCTGCTAGGACATAAGGAGGCGCGGAAAGAAGTTGCGCCTGGGTGCTGCTGAAGCCCATACCATTGCGAAGAATAATTGGAAGAAAGTAGGAGTAAGCGTATCCGGGGAGCGTCGAGGCCATGAGATTGAATGCCCAAAAGTACAGTCTCCAGTCCTTGAGGTGGTGCAAGATCTTGGCCAGATTAATGTGATCCTCCTCGGCATCTCCACGATCTTGGTTGATACGGGCAATGATGAATTCCTGCTCTGCTGGCTTCAGGAACTTGCCAGCCTGGGTTGGAAAGTCGATGATGATGAACCAGCCCAGAGCACACACAACCACGGTGATTGCGCCTTCGATGATAAAGATCCCTGTTATATCTGATGAGCACGAAGTTACCGCTTTTCAATTGGCTTGTCGAGCTCTCAACTTACAGCTCCAGCCGTTTAGTCCACTCTTTCCCCGGAGAAGAGTCAGGACGTATGCAAAGATTGCAGAAAAGCCACTGGCAAGGACAGAAAGGATCCAAAACCCGGAAAGCCTTTTTCCCACTTCAAAGCGGGTATACCAGCAAGTAATCAAATAAGTGCAACCTGTTGAACTTGCAACGTTAGATCTGTTTCCATCGCCGAGACACGGCATCACAACTAGTTAGGAAGTAACTATACCTGGCAGAAAACCTGCTTCCAAAATTCCCAAAAGAGCTCTACAGACTGCCATCGCACCCCAGGTCTTGGTAAAGCCCATGCCGATCAGGACCACGCCAAAACCTACACCGAGGAACGAAAGCCAGTTTGCGGGTCCTGCCTTCGGGAGTACGAGATTCTGGAACAGCGATCAGCTTAAGCGGCCACCAGAATCAATGAAAAGACAAAGGTCGTACACTGGGTATTTCGAAGAGACTGGTGTATTCGTTAGCAAACTTCGATCATCGCTGGAACATCTTCAACGGACGGACATATATGCAACAAAGAACACCATCACAATGACAGTGTATCTGTTTCCCACAGCCAGCCCTAGATCTTCCTGCATGCCCGCAACCAAAGCAAGGCCGAGATTCGTTCGGTCGATGAGAGAAATCGAGTACATTATGCCTAGAATCGGAAGTAGACGAATATCGATGCGACGGCTGAGTTCTGAGTTAGAATTCCTGATTGCATATGATGGACTTGGCAGGTTGGCATACATGACTTTCTTCTGCTCGGCCTCAGTGAGTCCACAGATCTGGCCAACATCTCGTCCCTTCACATCCTCCACGTGAGTCGAATCATGAGTCTTTTCGTCAATGGTACGAGTACCGAACTCTTCATCTCCTCGGTGAAGGTCACCAGAGGCTCTTCGCGGCTCCATTATGGTTGATTTCTTTCTGTTCCGTTGAAGTTGTACAAAGATGGAGCAAGGCACAGAAGTTCTGCCACAGCTGAAATCCGAGATCCATTGTACAAGGCATGCTGATCATTCTCTTAAGTATTCACAGGGGTCTTCGACAGGAGTCACCGCCAAGACAGACATATCCATCAGAATGCGATGGTGACCTGTTTCCATCAACCACCATGGGCCTAATCCAGACCGAAGCAAGCCTCAAAGCAAGCCTCCATTCCGCTCGACACCTAGCAGCTCCGAGAGATAGGTTGGATGCGGGGTAATCCGGGGTAGTGCGGGGGACGTGGTCTCTTCCTGCACGATTAGCACCAAATCCGGGCTCCCAGAATGTGCCTTGCAAGATGCAAAGTCTCATAAGCAGTCTGATGATTCGTTGAGCACCAATCATGAGAGTGGAGGGGGAACGACGCCACTGAGTCAGGGCGCTAGAGTCAGAGTCGCAGACTCTCGGACCATGTGTCAGTAGCTCAACCTCCGCTCATCAACCGCACCTTAGCAATCGCTAGGTCGACGCCAGCCAAGACTTGGTTATCCCTTTACTCGGGAGAAGAGACCCGGCATTCTGGCTCGCGAATGATGATGGCTTCAATGCAGACGTCTAGCCCTTGGGCTGGCCTACTTACGTGGTCAGTATGGGGCGCTGCATCGCAACCATTTGCTCTCGCAACTGAGCACCACCCCAGCACCTTCCGGAAGTGCATGGGAGACTTGGGAGATTCCGCTTCGAATGGAAAATTGGGGAGCTCACTTGGCATAGATGGTAAGATCCCCGCAATGTTACCCAGCTCCGCGATGCAACTCGCTCGCACTTCCCCTCGCATGTACTTGGTCCGATGGAGTCTACGAGGAATGCGTGGAAGATGATTTATAAAAGTGACATGATGATGGCTGTTTCTCTTGTGAGAAGGTAATAAGGGAAATTTTTCTCAGTTGCTATTTCCTCTTGACTCTTGGTGTTTCTATTCATCATGGTCGTCGGGTTTTTGTTGACGACATGGATCTTAGGCCAAAGGGTTCTTGGGTTGCCTTCCAAAGGTTGTGTTCATCACCAACCGCTGACCTGCAACAAACTCGAGATATCGCCAATAGATGGCTTCAATGTCATAGTTACCGAAAGCAACGAGGTCCAAGACTATGTTCTACCTACTGACCCAACATCGAAATTCGACTTTTGCAACTTTACTCTGACACTCAACCACCATGGCGCAGACGATGTTGTGTTTGTGAGCGTTTGGCTACCCCCTGAACATGTCTGGAACGGCCGCTTTCTCGCCACTGGTGGTGGCGGTCTTGCTGCGGGTACCTTTGCCTCAGCTCTCGCTGGTCCAGTCGCCAAGGGATTTGCTGCCGGCTCTACGGATGCCGGGCTGACGCTGAACCACACGATTGACGCGAACTCTGGTCAATGGGCTCTCAGAGCCAACGGTAGCATCAACGAGCCATTGATCGAAAACTTTGCCACACGGTCCATCCACGAGATGGCACTTATCGGCAAAGAGGCAGTCAAGGCGTTCTACGGTACCCAACCCCACCACTCTTACTACAGCGGCTGCTCCCAGGGTGGACGGCAAGGCTACTTCGCTGCTCAATACAGTCCCTATGACTTCGATGGTGTCTTGGCCAATGCCCCAGCCATCAACACTCCCCAGTTGTCCCCCGCAGACTTTTGGCCGTCGGTGGTCATGGGCAACATTGCTGCACCACCACAGTGCGTGTTCTCGGAGTATCAAAAGGCAATCATTGCGGAGTGCGATCCTCACGATGGCGCAGAGGATGGCCTCATTTCAGCTCCTGAGAAGTGCCACTTTGATACCAGCCAACTCATTGGGCAGAGCATCAACTGTACTGATACCGGTGGACCTGTCGTGATAACGGAGGACTTTGCCGAAGTCGTTGCGAAAACGCTTGAAGGCTCAAGAACGACAACAGGCAACTTCTTGTGGTATGGAAACCCGCCAGGCGCGCCCTTCACAGGCCTCGCCAATACGAAGACGGTTGATGGTGTCACCGTGCCGGTGCCATTCGCCGCGGCCGAAGCATGGATGCGATATTTTGTAGCTCAGGATCCGGATCTCGACACCGCATCTCTCACGTTTGCAGAATTTGAGGACATATTCAACCAGTCCGTGGCAAAGTACACGAAGACTTTCGGATCCGATGATCCCGATCTCACAAAGTTCAAGCAAGCTGGCGGGAAGCTGTTGACTTGGCACGGCATGGGTGATCCGCTCATCACCCATCTCGGGACGACACTATTTTGGGACAGACTTCGAGAGAGGGTGGGTGGTGTAGAATCTCTGGAGAGCTTCTATCGGTTGTTCTTGGCGCCGGGGGCGGGACATTGTGGTGGCGGGTACGGCCCCGTCCCTGTTGAGCCGCTCTCTGTTCTCGTCGACTGGGTCGAAACCGGCAGGGCGCCAGGGACCTTGTTTGCTATGACGACACAGGACGGTATCAACACGACTCGGAATCTTTGTCCTTATCCCCAATCTATCAAGTACAAAGGAACCGGGAACCTGAAGGATGCCACGAGCTTCAGTTGCGAGTGAAAGGTGTAGAGTCGTGGTGAACGAGGGGCGGCGATTCCCGGCCGTGGTTACAGTTTCCGCACGTTTATAGTAGCGGGTTGTTGTGTAATTTACATCAGCTAATGTGAAGACTGAAACCTACTTAAGTACCTGAAGGATTTGAGAGTAGAAAGTCGCCCGCTGGCCAGTTTTGTACTGTTGTCAGGCTCAGCATGTCCATGTCAGAGTTCCTCCTACTCCGCGGAGAGCTCCCAGTCTCCAGCTCTTTGACCCTTCCATTTTGCCGTAGCCTGCTCTCTCGAGCATCCTTCCAAGTTAAAAGTCTTGGCACTTCTTGATATGCTGGGATGTCTGCATACATCTCCGGGAAGTGGTTGAAAAAATCTGACGACATGGTCCAGGAGTTGATGTCGCGAATCCTGTCCTCGAACTCTGGGGCCACACAGTAGCGCCTGGTCTCAACGTTTCGCCGGTAGCAATCGCGGAACTCAAAAGGCCACATGATTCGAAAGCTGCTTGCGAATACCTCCCAGAACAGGTTCGAACAGTATTGATGCTGTGAAAATACAAAGCGTTCTCGAACGCCTGGCCTATTTTAGAAAGCGGGGGAAAGGTAAATAACTTTTCATCGATGAAAATCCAGTTATTGACAGAGACAGAACTTACCAGACGAAGAAGTCTATTGCAGAAGAGTGAGGTAGTGATTGAGATGGTCTTGGGATATTTGTCAGAGCATTCCACAAAAATGATCGGCTGAATCCAGTTGCTTACCTGCTGAGATACCATGCTGGTAACTTGGCGCATTGTTCGACTGTGGGCTCGGCTTGGTACCGGAGGAGGCGGTGCATGAGTCTCAGGATAGCAAGCCGTTCGGTATCCGGGCAGTTTCTGAACTGGAGCGTATCGGTCTGGCGCAGCCTTTTCCACAGGGGCGGTAGTTTCCCTGATCTTTCGACGGCATCCCATCCTTCTAAGATGACACGGACCGGAATGTCGTCGCTCATCTCGTCTTCCATATTCAGAACATTCCTGGAAAGCATTTCGCTGGCACCAAGAGCTTCGTTTGCTGATCTCCATAGACTTGTTGTCGATGAACCCGGGCTTTGGGGATCTTGCCTTGACCCTAAACACTCACAGGCACTATCTGGCTCCGGCACGATCACACCATCGCCTTGATGTCGAGGCGGAGGGGAGTCGGGTAGACATTCCAGATTAGGGTTCCCTGCCAGGGTGAGGGTAGATGAAGCGGGAACTCTGTTGGCCACTTCCGTCTCTGTCGCAAGAGTATGGCAGGCTACGTCAGATACTGGGAGTCCCCAAGTTATGGCGGAGATGCCAGGGGTGAAGACGTCTAAGGGCATATCTTCAACCTCAATGTCGAAGGCATTTGAACTCTCATGAGCGCCGGGCCAGGGCTGACAGTTGGAAGCCGTATCCCCAGGTTGTGATCCTCGGTCCTGGAAAGTATCGGCACGTTCGCCTTCTCGATGGACTTGGATCGTTGTCTCAAGCGAAGAGAGTGTTTTCGACAGGGTGTCTCTTTGCCTCGTCATGTCAGACAGCTGGTTCATCAAGCTGGCTATCTTTGCGTTCTGCTCTTGCTCGCTCATAGCCTGGATAGTCGCTTCTAGGTAAGCGATGCGATTTTTGTTCCGTTCCCGGGCAGCTCGCTGTGCACGTCGGTCCAGTTCCCTCTTCTTCGCGCGACGAGACGCGGCGTCGTCGGCCGCAGGAATGGGTGTCGCCGAGCTTATCTGTTGCGTTGCCATGGCTTTTCGCTGCCACTGCGTCTGCAGATGCGGTTCACGATGCGTCTGTTGCAATATTACGATGGTTACAATGGGACGAAGGTGGTTGGACGATGCAGAAGCAGCCTTGGACTTAATTTGGGGGCCATCCGGATTGCGGGGAACCGGGCTTACGGGGCCACCCTGAATCCGGGGGAGCAGCACCAGAATGCGGGGGACCCCGGCAAGTATGTAGTCTTTGTTAGTCATCACACACAATGTACGAGTTGTTTTGAACACGAGGAGGGCTATCAACAAGCTAGCTTTGTGGAATGGGCCGATCTGTCTCTACGTGACGGCCTTTCTTCTGGCGCAGGGCTTGAACCCAACCTCAGTCGACACTAGCGTCACTGGTGTCAATCAAATGGGTTAGAGCATTTGGACAGGAAAGCAGAGGCTGGGAACATTCTGCAGACTTATGTTCCTTGGTTTAGACCAGGGCCAGGAACAATGGCGTGAACGGCAACACCATAATTCACCAGAGACTTCCTGAGGAAAAGTCGGAGGCCGGAGGGTTTTTCGTCAACACCAAGAAAGCACCATACGTTACGTGTCGGATTATGCCAGACGATTTCTTACAGGGCATACCCCCAATGGCCTCCCGTGGATGATGGTGAGATTTTTGTCTTTTCAGCTCAAGGCGGAGAGTGTCCTAGGTTTGTCCATGAACTGAATCTCAAGGATGCTTGCGTGTAATTTGACTTCAGATGTTCGGACGTCTGTGAGCCTGTCAGTGTCACTGCAGAGGTGAAACCAAAATTCAAGCATGCGGTGTTCGCCCGCATTTATTTTAAGCTTCAGGGCCGCGAGTGATCGCGCAGATAAGAACTCTATCGTGTTGCATCTACAAGATTGATTAGCGGTTTTTCTTTTCTCTTGATTCAGAGCTTTGTCATCCTCCCAGACATTGGAGGAGTCCTCAACAGGAAAAGAGGCATCATCTAGGAGTGCCTAGGAAACAAAGAAATTCTTTAGAATAGGTGTTTTCATCGTTCTACTCAGGCAATGTTCTAGGTGACGAAAACGAGTCTCTTGCCGTTAGAGCGGATCCTCGTGGAGGCAACAAATGGAGAATTGGAGTTTCGCACCGGGTTTCATCAACACCGGCATCGCAGGCCCGATGAAGTGTTGAGTGTGGCAGGATTAGGGCGTTGCAAGTGTTGACACTGGCGACAGATGCACGGTTCTCGCTGTATTGAGCCAGAAAACAAGACCGCCCTCCATTGTCTATCCAGATTCTCTTAGCCTGAGGGTAATACTGTCAGAAAAGATGATGCTGTGATTCTTGCGAGTAAGAGTTTCCCGACAACGTCGTGTTTTCTCGGTCTCATACTAATGAACTGCTTTACGTATTGAACGGCGAGTCACACACACCTGCTGACCAGAACTCGACGCTGACATATGGCACTGGAAACTGATCGGCTTGATCCAAATTTGACTCGCGGAATCGGAAGAGAACCCTGACGAGGGTCCGCAATCAGCTACTCACATGTCCTTACACAGGAGATCTGCCGAGGACTAGAACAATTTAGTCGCAGCATCGACCCTTTTTCTAACTTCTGGCCAGAAGAGACCCGGGAGCCATCTCTCAATTGTAATCCAAGCTGGGTCAGCAGCTCTAAATGTCTCCCCCCCGTTACTGCTGTCTAATGCATTTAGAATACGATCGGCAGACTTTGAAGTTTCGGGCGAATGTGCTACAGTGCTGTCAATTGGGTACAACGTAGAAACATGCTTTGAGACAATCGAACCGCCCGAAGTCGTCTTTCTCCCCTCATCTCTCTTCTTCTTGATCAAAAACTGGAGCCTCGATTTCGTTTCATGGTTTCCGAGTTACCAAAAAGATAGGGCGTATATAATGAACCGCTGACCTCGAACCACCGAAGCATCATGTTCCACTGAGACTGTGTCTTGGTTACTCACCGGTGAGAATTCTGGATGCATGCTTAGTTTTTTCTAACAGGTAGCACTGGGTCTGAATTGTATGGTGACTTGAATTCCCACGCCACCATGGAGAATCGTTAGTTGTCGCTGATGTATGCATATTTTGTTGCAAGCTACTAGAAGTGGAAGTGAGGGCGGCCGAGAAGTGGAAAGTTGTCTGACCCATGAGCGTTGAAACTAACCATGCGATAGGTATCCGGGGTCTAGTTACAGTTCTATGGCTAAATCCTCTCATCTGTGCGCTTCTTGGCGCCTGATGTTAGGTGTCTCTTGGCTGCTGGTCGTAATGATGAACGGCTGTTAGTGCGCATCTGATGTCCCCATTACTACCCTACTGGCAATACTTGCCGTTCTGGCGATAATTGTGTCTGCGTAAGAATTATCACGAAACCTCCAACGAACAGTGACTGCGAGGGTTGTGATTTTTTGTCATCAACTCCATTGTGGCTGTGGCAACTCTCGACAGCGTGCGTCTGAAAATCAGCCAGGATTATGGCTACGAGCACCACACGGACATGGATAACGTCAATCTCCCTGCGCATCGCAAACATCCAACGGTGATCTGCCGCTTGGTCCAAGTGCCATCATTGCTACGGGGAAGCAATACTGTTGTTACTGCATTCTGCCTCAAATCACGGAGGAGCAATCAAGAATGACACATGGCTTTATAAGTACATTGAATCACCTGAATGTAGGCGAGGTGTTTCACGGGCTTCTGGTAGAGGCCGATTACTCACTACTCCCTTGTCAATGTCACTCTGTATCTACACTGAGTCGCTCAAATTTGAGAAAGAAAGACGACGAGAACATGTTCGCAGATGTCAAGCATCAAGTTGGTCGAGGGTGCCTCATGTGTGACGGCCGGTAAAGGTAATATCTAATTGACTTGGCGTCAACTAACACCAGATCAGTGGAATTCGTCGCCTGTCTACCGTTCGTCATTCAAAAACCTTGAAGTGGGAATGTGGGAATTGGAGACTGGAGGTTGCATGGAAACTCACATTGGGAAACTCACATTGACAGTCTGATCTTTCAGATGACCGAAGCGGATGAATCAGTCCATCTCGCCCACGAACCTGACTCCAGAGTATTCCGGCTGCGCAGAGTTCCTGTTCCAGGCATGTGGCCCCTTGGCCCCCAAGTCTGAGACGATCTGTGACCTATGCGGGCTTGATAGTGCGTTAAGATAAGTTCACCAAAACTATTCGCGAATTTGTTAGCATACTATAGACACCTGAGAGAAACAAACTGAAACGGGTTTGCCGACTTTTAAATAGTCGTCCGATAGCATTTGAGTTTTCCTCCCAGGTTCACTGCTGTGCAATGTCAACCCCTCTTGGCACACATCTGCGACTAGGTGTGACAGCACGCTCAGCCACTCGCGAGGACCACAATTTGCTCTCAGCGAAGAAGGCATTCCGGATAGAAATGGCCCCGTAACTGAAACGGTTCTTCCTCGAGCAACTCTCCTCCACCAGTCCGAATCTGTCACTAGTGCTGCTACTGCACGGTCAATGATGGCAATCCATCTTCTTCTCGGCAAGACGAGATCCCCGCCGTCTTTGCGAAGGTGTGGTTCTCGTGCCTTGCTTGACCCGCTGCGCACGGGATAACCCTGCCCACAACAGCAGCGGACGCTTTCCTCCCCTACACCTGGTCAACATCTCCAGTGTGTCAACATCGCGGGCAGTCGACAAACCCCCCGCACGACTGGTTTGAGAACATGGTACGGAGTACCTTTCTACTACACTGGAGAATTTCGCTATTGACTGATTAGCACCCGAGCGCAAATCCCCGCGGGCCGCCGCAACGTTGACATGAATAAGCTTGTCTACGAGCCTTGTTCACCTTGTCCGTGTGCTTTCCCAAGGGTACTGCCTTGGCGATCGCCTCCGAGCTCCCGCTATGCAGTCCATACATGAGTCCGGAAAGTCTCGACTCTGAGTCTAATTTTGGACCTGCAGGCTTGGTGAAGCCTGTCACAGCGCCGTTTCTATCACCTGTCCTCAAGCGAGAGACTTTCGAGCGTGGCATCGAACTGTTCTGTGGCGAGCTGCTCTCTTCTCGCTCGCACGCCTTAACCTTGCCCCCTGAGCCTAGATCTTACACTCGGTCCAACTGGGTCGGTCATCCTGGAACTCACGATTCTTTTCTCCAGCGCACTCCTCAAACAGGCCCCTGCACTTGACTTAGCAGTGTCTGATTGTGTCTGGGCCGGAAAACCATCACAGTGGCGGTTGTCCGGAGAAGAGCAGATTCAACCGACTAAGCCTGGTGGAGCATCACGTAACCACACCTCTTCGGCGAACGACTTTATATCTAGACCGAGACTTTCGTCTCTTCTCTGTCGGTCCGGATCTTCTGCCCCCAACCTACTCGTTCGCCTCCTCCTCTTCTTTTCATCTCGTTCTTTTTCTTTTTATAGTCTACTGCGTGGACTTCCTTTCCTTTCCTTTTCCTTTTCTGCTAGGCTTGACGCCACAGAAGTTTCCACTTTACGACAATTACCTAGTCTCTATGTTTGTTTAGTACACAAAGTCTCGATGACTTTCACTCTCTCATGGCGCCAGGCCGCCGTGGCAGCGTTACTGTTCAATGCGGCGGTAACGGCCAACTACGATACTCGGCGGAATAATGAAGCCTCGGAAGATACAAAGCGGGCTTTGAATGTTGCCTCTGTAAAGGCTCGAGGCCTAAATGTCAGAAACTTTGTACAGAAGTTGGACGTTGACAGTGTATTGTCTGCCCTCGGCAGCAATAACAAGGCACAAGGTTCGTATTGATGATCACATACAGGTACCAAATCCGGAAGCTGACTCTATCTAGGCGATGGAACTCCGAATGTAGCTCCTCTTGCTGCTGAAGGGGCTGTTCCTGCCGCTCCCCAAGCTCAAACCGCAGCACCACCGGCACCGGCTGCGGGACAGGCTCCTCCTCCTCCTCCCCCGGCAAATGGCGCGGCACCACCACCACCACCACCTCCGGCGAACGGTGCGCCACCTCCGCCTCCCGATCCAAACGCCGCCCCTCCTCCTCCTCCTCCAGCGAATGGTGCTCCTCCACCACCGCCTGACCCAAATGCGGCTCCTCCGCCTCCGCCTCCTGCGAATGGTGCTCCCCCGCCACCACCACCTAACGGAGCACCACCGCCGCCTCCTGATCCGAATGCTGCCCCTCCAGACCCGAACGCGCCTCCTCCACCACCTCCTGATGGAGCCCCGCCACCGCCTGATCCAAACGCAGAGCCACCACCGCCTCCTCCTGAGGGAGGCCCAGCTCCTGATCCGAACGCCCCTCCCCCGCCGCCCCCTGATGGAGGTCCTGCTCCCGATCCCAATGCTCCCCCCCCACCACCTCCGGACGGTGAGGCGCCTCCCCCTCCTCCTGATGATGGACCTCCACCACCACCCCCAGATGGTGGACCGGCTCCTGACCCTAACGCTCCTCCTCCACCGCCACCTGAGGTTGAGGGAGCACCACCACCACCGCCCGAGGCTGCTCCAGCTGTAGCCGGTGAGCCTCTGGCGCCTTTGGCCGTGGGAGCTCCTCCTCAACCTGCTGCAGCTCAACCTCCTCCTCCTCCCGCTCTCGCAGGCAATGGAACTGACCCTGCCGGCAAGAAGAAGGGAAAGAAGGGCAAGGGCAAGGATGACGCCGGCAAGAAAGCAAGGGATGATGCAAAGAAGGCAAGGGATGAAGCCAAGAAGAAAGCGGAAGGACACCTAGCAGGTGCTGCCGGCCCCGGCCAGGCCGCCGCCAACGGAACAGCACCTGCACCTCCGGGCAAGAAGGGAAAGAAGGGCAAGGACGCCAAGGGCAAAGACGCAAAGAAGCTGAAGGATGGAAAGGGCAAGGGGGCGATTCCCGGAGCCGCAGGTAATGGCACTGAAGCCGTTGGGCCGGACGGGAAAGCCAAGAAGGCTAAGAAGGCTAAGGGCAAGGCCGCGCTTCTTCCAGGGGCGGCCGTGAACGGCACCGCGCCAGCAGGTCCAGATGGCAAAGCCAAGGGCAAAGGCAAAGACGATGACCCTGAGGCGAAGAAGAAGGCCAAGGATAATGGCCTCGAGGGTGCCGCTGGACCCGCTGAGGAAGCCGCGGGTGGACCTGAAGGCAAAGGCAAAGGGAAAGATGACGACCCTGAGGCTAAGAAGGCAAAGGAAGCGGCCGCTGGGGGTGAGGGAGCAGCAGCCGCAGGGAAATCGGCCGGAGCGGCATTTGAAAGACGTCGGCGAGCGAGCTTCGTGAAGCGGCGAAACCTCATGTCCAATTTCGGCTGGTGATCTGAGATCAAACTCTTGTCCCGCTGGCCTATCGTACTCTCACTCACTTCTGGGTATCAATGGGCGGCATTCTGCATACAATGTTTTTATTCTACTATCTCACTCGTTTCTATACATTCAAAACCTTCAATCGCTGGCTGGGACAGAAGATTCACAAATTCGTGTATGTGCGGAAGGCGAGGACCGATTCTTTGGTAAACTGTGGGAACTCGTATCGCGATAGTTGGGATAAAATACAAAAAAATAAAAAACGATAAATAACAACAACAAGGATTCGGCCGGTGAAAATATGCGCATTTTCGACGCGGGATATATGTCTACTTGTGATTTGACGGGTAACGTTTTAGATTTTTCTGTCTGATCAGGAACACATGAAACCGTACTATTTCAGGAACAACAGGAACAACCCCGCTAGGGCAGCACACGCCCCATTCTTAGGCCGAAGTTTGTCTTCTTCGCATATGACTCGACATCTTGTGTATCGGGGAATTCACACAACGGTTCCCCCCTTACTGTCGCGAACGATCGAGTGTCAATGGCCGTCAGTGTATCGCATCGTACATGAACGACAGCTCCCCAAGGTAGTCGGGACCGACAGCTTTCCGCAACCCGTATGAGTATACCATACAATACGATATCAACAAGACTTTAGTTCTTCAACCCTACGTTAGACATGCAATTACTGATCAGACCTCATAATCTATTCTTTAATGCATCCCAGTGCTAAATTGTGCCAGCTATCTCCTTCCAGAAGAAAGAAACATTAGCTTGCTTCAAAGATCACTAGGAGAGTCTCGAGGACTCGGCAGCGCATTTCATCATGCAGGTCATAGTGATATGTGTGACCGGAATGTATGTCACACTCGCCCCAGCCGTCTCGGTCCATTGAAGTGGTGCGCTACCCATTGGGTTGGTACCTCCGATGCCAGAAGGTTTGCCCTGCGAAATCCAAATCCTTTCTTCCTGTGCCTTACCCTGTAGTGCAGTTTCATAAGAAGCCAGGATACGTCAAGAAAATGTCCTGGACCGAGAGGGGCGACAACATGCTTCTGGCTTTTGGCACTCAGCGGTACGTTAACACCTACTTGAGGTACATAAGAGCACATAGAATAGTATTCTCAACAAGCAACAGCCTCTGTAGTGATTCCTCTCCCACACTTTTGGCCCTTCTTTATAATACAACACGGAAGTTAAACTTCCTACACGTTCATACATGCATGGTCGAATGGCTAAAAGGTTGATACCAAAAGGAAAATGCGCATATCTTGAGCTCAAAGAAGATGAGAGACTATCACTAAATTCAATGAACAGGCTCACGAAACCTTCTCCGCTAGGTTCAAGTCAGCCGATTAGAGAACGAAGAGCCCTCATGCCCCAGACTTCCAGTCATGTTTTACTATTTGTCGCTGTTACTCAAAGGATTTACAGCTCTTACAATCATTCCATTCGCTTAAAGTGGATAGACTGAACATGTTTCTAGTCAGTTTTGTATTGCTCACTGTTAATGATTTTGATCAATTGAACATGAAGAAAGATTTGGATCAACATCGACGAAGTCAAGATTTGTGGATCGGGCAGTCCAATGCGTTTGCGTATTCAGATGAGAGAAAGTTATTGACCGTTGTAAAAGAGGGAGAATTTGTAATGACTCATCCCGAATTAAGGCACGACGATTTGAGGATAGAAAGTTTTCTAGCTTGCCACTTCAAACTTATGTTTGTACAAGGTCTGTGACCGGTAACTCGTCGTTGCATATAGGTCACCTTTAGAATCGGAGGAAAGATTGACATCCAGATCCGTTCTACTTACAGTTTAAGCCTTCCTGATATTGTGAGTGTTAAGATGCCAGACACTAATGAGAGCACCTAGTTGCATTGGGTGTCGAACTTGGGACAGTCCGGAATAGCTAGACGGAAGCGCGCCCGAAATTCCGGCCTGCCCCGCCGTTTTGTGGGGAGATCGGCCGGCAGATATCGGTGCTCCTACAGCGTGGAATGACATAATGTGAAATAGACCCTCCGGGGTTTAGCCGTTGTCCTCTTCCGGAACAACAACCAACCCAACTGCATGGGTGGGGCCGTTGATTAACCGTCCCTCGCCTTGGAGCTTGGCCTCCATAAAGGCTGTTCTCGCCTCATTCTATGGCCTGCCTTACCTCACCCGAAGAGTCTCAGGATATCCGTCTCGGGCTTATTTGAAGCTTCACGATGGCCACAATCACTCAACAGCAGCACACCTTATCAGACTCTTACGAACTTGCCGAAGCACCCAAGCAACCCCGCAGCGAACAGATTCTAGGATCCAATGACCCGGCAGACACTGACCAGAGCGACAAACTTGACAATACTACACTTCTGAAGCTAATAGCGTCAGGATTCGCCTTCTTCATCTCTGGGGTCAATGACGGCAGTGTCGGTCCACTCCTTCCCTACATGATCCGCGACTATAACATCACCACTGCAGTCGTGTCTATTATGTGCGTAGCCAAAGCCACAATTTCAAACTAGGCTTCAACACTGACCTCTGGTTCAAGCTATGGAGCAAACTTCCTCGGCTGGTTTCTCGCAGCCCTTACCAACACGCATCTCCGTCAAAAATTCGACCTCGGCGGTCTGCTCGCTTTCGGCGCCTTCTTCCAAGTCTTAGCCCATGCTCTCCGGGCATGGCGACCTCCATTCCCATTCTTTGCCGTCACGTTTTGGCTCGTATGCCTTGGGCAAGCATACCAAGATGCAGGTGCAAATGCCTATGTAGCCAGCGCCAAGGCTGCACATCGATGGCTGGCCTTTATCCACGCATTGTACATGGCAGGATGTCTGGTGGCTCCATTTGTCGCGACTCCAATTGCGTCGGCTGGGGAGACCTCTCGATGGTATCTCTTCTACATTTTCCCGCTCGCCGTCGGTGTTCTCAACTTTGCCCTGACCTGCTACGCCTTCCGAGACACTATCAAATTTGCACGTAAAAAGAACGGGGCGACTGAGCCAGAAGCAGGGACTGACGACGAAGAGAAGAAAAGCGCATCCCAACTAATGAAGACTGCTCTACGATCCAAATCTCTTTGGATGGTCAGCATCTTCTTCTTCTTCCTACTTGGGGCAACCATCACAGCAAGTGGATGGATTGTCGAATACCTCGTTGAGATTCGTGGCGGTAATCTCGGTGCTATGGGTTATGTCCCTGCAGGCTTCAACGGAGGAGCTATGCTTGGCCGCCTTCTTTTGGCCGAACCTACCTATCGCCTAGGTGAAAGGAGAATGATCCTCCTTTATGTCGTGCTCTGCATCGCTTTTCAGTTGGTCTTCTGGCTGTAAGTTCAAAGTCGCGAAGCGCACGATTCCCGCCGGTGGCCGAGTCTAATGCGTGTGAAAACAGGGTGCCCAACATCATCGCTGCTTCAGTGGCCATCAGTTTCTTTGGATTCTTCTCTGGCCCTCTGTTCGCGACGGTAAGCTGTGCAACCCCTGGTGCACCGTGCATAACCAAGATATCTGACAATTCCTAGGGTATATCTGTTGGATCCAAACTCTTCTCACCAGAGGTGCAACCAACAGCTCTCTCATTCGTATTTGTCATCGGCCAGATTGGTGGATCTTTGTTTCCCGTCATTACGGGCGTCATTGCCTCTCGAATAGGCGTCAGCGTGCTGCAGCCCATTCTGATTGCGTTGATCGCAGGCACAGGTATCAGTTGGGTGCTGATACCAAAGCCCAAAGACTCGTCAAACACCGCCTTGCATCAAGAATAAAAGTTGAGATAGCCAGGACACGTATGAAAACCAAGAGGGTTAGGAAGTTACTCAACTAGAGCTCTTTGTGGGACAGCGACTTATCAAACCACTTGTCCAGAATAACATTTCATTTGCGGCTGAGTAGTGCCTATTAAGAAAAGATATTCAGGTCTTCAGTGATGTGACAAGACGTGCTGAGTGAAGACCACCAAGATACCACAAGCAGATGCAGGTAATACATGGGCTTGGAAATGGTGCAATCCCCAGTTCTATTCCTCGCCTTAAGTCTAAATATCTCTGGAAGTTATTTGAGGCATCAGTGGCACAATTGAGCCAGGGATACCAGAGTCTCATTGCGACAGCTAAGAATCCTTCGCGTGTCTTTGCACTCAATGTGGAGACATATCGAGCACGCCATGATAATTCAGATCGCGACACACTGAGCCACCGCTATCGGGGTAATCGTACCAGGATGTTGAAGATATTTCAACTTAATCTTCATGCTGTATTTCGAGTCTAGACTGCCGTGCAACCTGGCGATCTCAGAGTAGCTTTCTCAAGCCAGCTGTGATCTGTCTCGTGATTGCCATCTGCAGTGTATTGACAAGAATACTTCTCGCCTACGACCAAAGAAAGCCTCTGCAACATGGCTTCTCCAAAGTCTCAACCAATAGATGCACACTCTGCAATTGGCGAGGATGCAGTACGGGAGTTTGGAGCGCATGGCATCGGCAAACGGACATGGTACCGGACTGTCTTTTTTCAAGCCACCGTCATTGGTCTTTGCGCATTCTTCGCCCCAGGCCTTTACAATGCTATGCAGTCAACAGGTGCAGGTGGTCAACAGACTCCTTACCTCGTCATGTAAGTCTCTAATTGAACTCTTAAGCATCATCATTCCGCGAATTCCTTCAACTGACTGGCCTCAAAGGTCGGCAAATGCCGTTTTAGGAGTCATGATGGTTGTGACATGTTCCATGGGAAGTGTGGTTGCCAACAGGATCGGCCTCAAAAATGCCTTGATCTTTGGCACGACGGGATAGTAAGTCACTTCCAGCCTTCAGATTGACATGATTAGAACACAAAATTATGGGTGTTAATTTGATCCAACGCAGTGCTCTATACTCAGCGTCGCTGTATGCAAACAACCGCTACGGTAATGAGTGGTTCGTCTACGTTGGTTCTGCTGCTTGTGGGATCACTGCCGGTGTTTTCTGGGCTGCAGAAGGCGCGATCATGATCAGTTGTAGGTCATCCCAAGCCTGGTAGGCCTGATGGAATACATCTAACCTTTACCCCGTAGACCCGGAAGACCAGAAACGAGGGAGATATCTGGCCTATTGGCTGGCGTATAGAAATGTCAGTGGTCGTGTAGCGGGGTTTCTACCACAGGGACCGAAAGTGTTGACGGATTCCAGGGCGGATCTATCGTTGGAGGTGCTATCAACCTTGCATTTAGTGAGTAAAACACAACTATACCAGCAATAACACAGGTGTTGAATTTCTCTTAGATGCGACCGGTAAGACAACTGGAAAGCTAGATTACAGGACCTACATCGTCTTTGTGGCTTTGCGTAAGTTTCTGGGCTCTTCGCAGTCTTAGTATCATGGTCTAATCTTTTCCAGAATGTCTTGGGCCTTTTGTCGCAATGCTTTTGTCTCCTCCCGAGAAGGTTCAACGCCATGATGGGAGAAAAGTAGCCAAGGCTGAGCGGATTCCCACGGTTTCAGAACTCAAGGCTGTGGCCAAAATCCTCATTCGCAAAGATTTCTTGCTTGTGTAAGTGATCAGACAATGAGGGAGAGCCCGTCATGGCCTTCCAGGGACGCGATACTGACAGTACATAAAGTTTCCCCTTCTTCTTCTACGCCACGTTCCTGCTGTCATATGCGGGATCCTACCTGTCTCTTTACTTCTCCGTTCGCTCCCGTGCTTTGGCATCGCTAGTGTCTGCACTGGCTCAGATTACTGCGAACTTCATATTCGGCAACTTTCTGGACTGGAAGCGACTCACTATCAATCAGCGGGCCCGGTTTGCTTACTTTGGTATCATGGCCTTGTTTGGGGGAACCTGGGTTTGGGCAATTGTCATTCAGCAAGAATATGGGCTGAAAGCTCCTGCTATAGATTGGGTCGACAGCGGTTTCGGCCGTGGATGGGCGCTTTACATCCTTTTGCAGGTTAATTTGTGAGTCCCGGGAAACCTCTTTCAAACTTGTTCATTATGAGTATTGACTGATCGCAGCGCATTGGCATACAACTATGGTTACTGGCTTGCTGGCTACATGGCGCGTGATAACGCCGAAATCATCCGATTTACATCAACGGTTCGAGCCGTTGAAGCGGCCGGAGGCGCGGTGGCGTCCGGTATCAGCTCTACGCATGCTCCTGTAAGTGCTCCTCATCCCTCGAAGAAGGCATGGGACGGGAGGGGCTGTTTCTTGATAAGATTCTTTGATAACAAGCTAATTCCAATCGAAGCTCATTGCTGCCGCGAGCGTCAACTTCGGTCTATGGGGTCTAGCACTTATCCCGACTTATTTTGCTGTTCGATCGATTGACGCGAGGCCACCAGAGGAAGTTGATGAGGAAGAGTCGAGCAAAAGCGTTTCTCTTTGAACTCAGAGAGCTTGCAACAGAATCATGTCAAAGAGTAATAGCCCTTGTAGAGTCTATTATGATGCTGATAGAAAAGCTGTTAACTTGGAATACGACTTCAAATCCCTGCATCTTCTTCAAATTTAATGGGAAAGTAAAGGTTTCCATATCAGGCAGTCAAGAGCACCTTTCAAGCTTCAACTGCAAAAAGTGTGATTCCATGCAGAGGCGTGTCGCTGCCCAGTTGACACCGTCTTCCATAGCCAGCGGCGCCGACTTCGCAGATGTGCCCGGGTGTAATACGGCCATGGTAAATCCCGCCAGATTGAAGTGGATTCTGCGAGAGCACCTCATCACTCGCAAGCCTTCCGTGATTTCCATGGTAGCTACACTAATCGTACCCCTCTTTGGATGGTTTATGCTTCGTAAAGTTAACTCAATGCATGATGAGAATATGTACACGACCCTTTGATCGCGCGGGGAGTCACATCTCTTCTCGGAAGAGAGTAATATTTTCACACCATCCATATTTCCAACATCAAATTTGAGATGGCGAGACCAGATTGGTACAGAAACTTCACTGAGAATGGCTTTGCGGTCATTCCATCGGTGATACCTTACAACAAAGCTATCGAGTATCAGCAAAAGGCTTTCGCATGGCTGAAATCCTTCGACAACGCCGCCTTGGATCTAGCTGATCCCACAACGTGGACCCCCGAAAACCTGCCATTCATCTCCGGAATCAACACAGTGAACCATTACGGAGTTGTGCACGAGAAGTTCATGTGGGATATACGCCAGGAAACAGGCGTAATTGACGTCTTCGCCGAAGTGTGGAATACCCGCGACCTTATCGTCTCGTTCGATGCCCTCAACATCACACTTCCAAGACGCCAAGGTCATATCCCCAGGAAAAAGTGGCCTCATGTCGACCAGAGCCCATACAGACAAGGCCTGGAGTGTGTGCAGGGCATAGTGAATCTCTCAAAGGCAGGGTCCGAGGACGGCGGATTGACTGTATACCCGGGAACGCACAAGACCACCGAGTCGTTCTTTAAAGAGCATACCGACAAGTCGGAGTGGACGCGAAAAGACTTTTTCAACTACACGCCTGAGCAGATTGCATGGTTCGAGAAGGAGGGCTATCGGGAGCATAAGGTTGTCGCGGAACCAGGTGATTTGATCATCTGGGATTCGCGACTGATCCACTTCGGGGCCGAGCCTACATCAAAGAGCGATACCATACGGACCATCACATACGTGTCGTACGCTCCCGCATCTTTTGCGACGAAGGAAGCCCTTAAAGCTAAGAAGAAAGCCTTTGAGGAGTGGCTGGCTACGACGCATTGGCCTCATGACAACATTGTTCCGAGGACAAATCAGCCAACTCTGCCGGATGGAACTGTCGACAACAGAAGATCGGAGCCGCTGGAGAAACCTGAACTCACTCCAGAGTTACTGAGGCTGGCTGGGGTTGAGGCATATTAGACATGCAACCCCGCAACTGCACAAGCTGGGGTATGCGGAGACGGCGACCTCTTTGCCCGGGGACTTGGAGACTTGTATGCTTGCCGACTGAATTTGAGATCTTCTGATGATGGTATAAGTGACTCATTCGTCCATCATGTAATAAAGTCTCGATTAGGAATTGAACTTTCAGCTGCGGTCGGATGATATCTGTTGGTGACCGCGTCGGCGCGTAAGTGCTGACTCGCGCTCTACCTTAGCCCACACACAGCTTTACAAGCGTGTCCCCCATGTTTGCTTTGGAGAAAAGTAATTCGTACCGGGAACTGAGAGAGATATCCGGTTCATATCGGCTTACCAAAGCCGGACCAAGGTTAACGCTTGCTATCTCTCAGATAGGGAGGTCGAACACCACGCCGGCCCGGGTTCCTTGCGCTGCTGATAAACAGCCGGTATCGCGGATACTTCCCGGTCTCGGGACGACTGCGGAGCACCGAGGGCCCACGTCTGACAAACGA